GAGAGAGAGAGAGAGAGAGAGAGAAATGTAAGTGAAGTTTGCCTTCATGTGACAATACAAAAATAACTCTCTACCTGTTCTTCATAGGCCACACGATATTCCTCCAGCTTGCAGACAAGTTGATCATGCTCGTCATCATACTCTGCAATCTTTTTGCGATAATATTCAAGCAGTTCTCGAGATGGTCGAAGATGGCCTGAAAACATAACCCTCAAAAAGATGCACTATTTATAATCAAGGCTTGATATAATTCTTGAAATATTACATACGATGTTACAAAACACAGACAGAAGAACCAAGCTTAGTCAAAAAAGCCTCTAGGCTAGACAGAATGATTTTTTAGAAATATTACCTGTAGTGTTGAGAAACACAGACACAAGAGCCTAGCTGAGTCTAAGAACAAATGGCAAAGTAGCATTTCCATAACAAAAACTCATTATGCAGAATTTTAGTTATTATGTTAACTTGGTTTAAAGTTAAAGAACCACACACCTTTCAGAGACTTTCTGTACAAAATACAGCTGGACCCTGTCATTCTTAAACAAATGTGAGTCACTCTCCAATTTGAAATCAACAATTTTGGGATTTTGAAGTGATAATCCCACCCTACCATGAACATTGACTTTCTTGAATAGTGAGTGCAAATGGAGTGTTGAGAACTCATGAGAAAGAAAACCTCTGGTTGGTCACACAAAATTGTTGTCAGTCTCTGACAGATCCATTATTGTGCACAGTGCATGATACACCATAGACAGGTAATGATCCATTAAGTTTGGCGATTGACGGTTGTTTGCACTGCACTAAACTAGATGAGGTTCCTTGCAGGAGGAAAATGCCTGAATCCTCATCAGCTGAGGCTGTTTTCACAGAAAGCGACTGATGAGTCCGAGCTTGCTTACTGAAGTATGCTGTGAATACAAAGTACAGGGTGATCCCCCCCAAAAAAAAATTGTACAACTTTTTTTCTGAATATCTCGCCCAAAATTTGTACTAGAATGTTGTAATTTGGAACAGATATAATTCATTCAAAGGGAATTTGTTTGAGATAAAATTCATAAAGAAGAAACTTGTTGTCGAAAATGCAATAAAAACCACTTATAAATGCAAAATGCCCCAATTTAAAAGATCTCGAAATTTAAGGAGAGTCATGAAAAGATCCCCCCCCCCCTCCCTTTTCTTAAAAAAATCTAATCTTTCCAATCCTGTAACATTTAAACTATAATAATTCATTTCTCTTACTGAGTCTTAGAATTTTTTTAAAATTCTGGAATTCAGAGAACTGGTGCTCTCAATGTCTTTCTATGGACTCGTCACATTTTAATGCGTCATTCGTAATGTTCAATGGTGGACAAACACAAAGGTACATCCAACCATGAACCGTGAGTACTTAAAGCTACACACGCTGTACACCTTACAGTATGGAGTTGCTTCTAGAGACAGTAGTATGGCGGGTGAGGTTGACCAAACAGGCGTTTGTGGAGTTAACACATCCTGAAATGTGAATATGGGCTTTGCCAAGGAATCAAATGTCATAGAGGAACGTTCACGTTTTTCAAGACAATCGAGGAATCATGAACACATTGCTATCCTCTGATCCTCAGCTTCACGAACAGGAAAATGGTACCGTCGTAGAAGAGGATCTGCCTTGAAAATACAGTCCTTTGAGATGTAGGAAAATCCTTGCTGCAGACATTGTATAAGGACAGAAGTCTCATCTTCCAAATTTTGCACCCTGGGTACGTTTAAAGGGATGTGAACGGTGTGTGTTTGATCTGAAGTGGTCGTTTTGCCTACTTAAGAAATGAGTTGGCGGTGAGGAAATGTTTAATACAAAAAGCTCTCTGCTCATTACTAATGATAACTATGATCTCAGCAGGCAAAGGAAACTTGAGAAAAACAACCTGCAAGCTTCTGTTGGCCTGTTAGACTACTGTAGCATGCGCGAACATTGGGACTTTTAATGGTAGGCCTAAAGCGAACTAGTGCGTCATGCTACAAAAATGGGAACAAAGCTGAAAAAGGGTTGTTTTGTTACGCGCTATGAAGAGCAAAACTATTCTGTGGAATAACTAAAAAGAATATCAGACAAATTCGTTTTGTTTTAGTAAGAGTTTTATGGCACTTGCAACACAATAAGGTCACATAAGTGCCGAAGAATAGATGTTACAAGAGAGTAACGTACACAAAAAAGAAAGAGGAGAGATAAGGACGATAGGTGTTTGATAGGAAAGAAGGAGCAAACCAGACCAGAGCACCTGCCAACCACCCACAATTCCTTTTGACTTCCAAATGTTGTGTACAAATTTGAAACACAAAACTTCAGTGTGGAGGGAAATATTTACCAAAAAGCAGTATAGATTTTTTGGACCACACTGTATTTGATTTTAATGAATCAAAAGAAACAGGGAATTCTTCGCCTCTCTGTGAGTCTGAGCTTTAGTTGAGCCCAAATTCGGTGAAGACAAGTTTCACCGTAATTAATATAAGGCATAACTGGAGGAGGGAAAAAGCAAAGTAAGCAAAAACTACAACGGAAATGCCTTTGCTAACTAACGATAACTTTTTTTAGTATCACACACAAACAACATGCAAAGATCAAGATAGAAGTAAACTCACCAAGTCTTTCATTTAGAGAGGGTAGCTCTGGATTCTCTATCTTTTCTGTCTCCCCATCATCCTTGTTATCAAAACTTTTGTTGGCATGAGAAGAACTGTTGAACATGTTTTCGTTAAGGTTGCTCAAATCAAAACCATCACTCTTTAATGACCGGTGAGCATTCTTTGTTTTCCTGCAAACAGAAAAATACTTGTGTACCAAAAACACATTTTCGTATATATATAAAATAAATTTCAAGGAAACAATTAAATTAAACCATTACAAAAAGTTAAGAGGTGAGTAGCAAAGAAATTTATTCAACTATCAACTAGATCTAGTCCAGTCAGCACTGTTGAATATGAGAGAAAATAAAAAAATCAGAAAGACCGAGCCTGTTTATCATTTATGAAACAGAAATTCAAAGGAATTAATTTGCAAGACTTGATCGTTGAACAGTGGTCCCTGGGCACCCTACCTAAAAACTTGGTCTGCCAAAGAGTATGCATTTTCAAGGTAACAAAAATTTTCTTTTTTTTTTTACACATCTATGAACCAGCTTGTACATTAAAAATCTGCCTCAAAACCTGGTTTGAGCTGAGGGAAATAAACTTCTTAAAGAATTTTAAGGGTCTGCTTCATTATTGTAATGATACTGAAATAATCAAAGCGGCCTTCAAGGCCAGACAAAGCACACTGTAATATTGCAAAGTTAAGACAATCTACTGGAAAGACACCAGAGCAATTTTGAAGGGAAATTGCACTTGCAAAATGGCCAAAAGTGGGTTTTTATTTACTTTTGAAAGCACTCTGAAAATAACTGACATTTGAGCCTTAGCAACAATTCCTCCTGAAGACTGGAAGTACATGTACTTGTATAATATGTAGTGTCATTGGAACTGTTGTGATCTCAGCTATTCATGTATCTAAAACTAAAAGTGTCATTGAAAACCCTACAAACTATGAACCACCCTATTTGTAGACAAGGAAAGCTGAATTAGTGCATGGAATATTTTTTTGCATTTTTCTAAAAATTGAGTTTATATCATGGCCTGCTTTGTGAAGAACACTGTATTCTGAAAAGTTTTAACCCTACACCTATAACGTTTACAGTATACAGTAGTCTCCACCTAAAAGCCCACCGCTTACGATCCCAGTTTGCTAAAGATCCTGCTGTTTTATAAACATAATTTTTACTACACAAAAATCACCCCTATCTATTTAAGATCCCACTCTGAAAGTCTGCATTCAGCTAAGATCACGCATTTCAGATTATAATTTACAGAACAAAAACACAGGCGTGCACAGCAGATTAAGCAAGAGTGAAAATTGCGATCATTGAACTGCCTGTTTTGTCACAGATCAGCTACTCTCACGAATGTGAGCACATTTCCTTTGTAAATCTTAATGAAACGGTACAATGTTTGCCAAATGCGGGATCACACTGAGGTGTAAAGTCGCCAATGCTTTTGCTTTCCCCAAACATCGCACTCACATCTGATCTCTCCACCTAAACTTACATAACATGCTGGGTGGGTAGGGCCTGCAAATTTGCTCCAGGCAGGATCACATCGAACTGTGAACTCTCTCTGACCACTACAGCAGTTGTTGTCTCTACTCCTGAGTTATGAGACTTAGCCTACTGAATTTTAACTGGTGTGGTCAAAACACAAATAACGGCTGTTAGGAAGCAGTACTTTAGTTCGCAGGTAGCCGGCGCACCGCATCTTGTAATCTGATCCCGGTCACAGGGTTATGAACTCGTGGCCAGGGGAATTCCCTGTGTCCCGCTAACAGCGTTGTTCATTTTTAGGACAATTAACCCTATTCGTATGTTGTGTTTTACTATCGTATCCATACGATGTCGGGAACTCTATGCCACCACTTTCCAAAGAGGAAATTTACTCGTTAATCTGATCCGTACGCTTTACATAGCAGTCTGTCAAAATGATTTTTTGAGAAACACTGAAAGTTTCAAAGAGATCTTCGCACTATAAGTATTTTAAAATGTGAAAAATAAAACCCCTGGGGTACAAAATGACCCCAGGCGTACAGATAGGGTTAAACTCGCAAAATACGCCAATCGGTGACTATCGTCATTTTGTTTTGCCCGTTTCTAACAAAATCAAATTTAAATCAAAATATAAATCCAAGAAAACCCAAAAAAACTCTTTAACTTCACATAAAATACACAAGAAACAGTCAAGTATCAGCACTCACTTTGTTGTTTTTGTGGTAAGTCCACAGTTTTAGAGTAATGAAGAGTTGACTGCAGTATCACCTTTTTTTCTTTGCCGGAGGCACGTCGGATAATAGTTCTGGATTTGACATGAGGTGCTGAGATTGCATCACAACAGTCAATGTGTAGTTGTCTGTCTTTTGGCACTGGTTGGTCGTGTGAGATGTGAATGTGAACGTCCCAAAATGCGTTGTTTAATTGATTGAAGTTTTCTCTGAGAGTGTAAGCGGTGTCAATTATGTTTTGCTTGTGGGTGTTTTCTACTGTTTCTTTATAATAAATGCAGTGAGTCTTTATTAACGATGTTGTATTTGTGGCAGTTATTGCCAATGAAAGAGCGGCTGAGATATGCCTGCGGCGTGATGCTGTGTGAGTCAAGTATGGTGTCTAAATGGGAACAGATAGGGCCAGTCCTAGGGCTAACTGGTCCATGCTCTAACTCGTAGGTGCCAGAAACTAAATTTTCAAAGTAGCTGTATGCCAAATTTATCTGTTCCATTTGAAAGGCCTATATATCAATGAGCATTTTGGTACCATTCTTTAATCTCTCAGTCAATTTTTAATGGTAGTTGTTTAAAATTTGATAAAATTTGTTAAAGTCAGTCACTGGCTGCAACCCCATGTTTGAAGGATAATAAAAGAGTATCAAGTGCACTAAACATCTCTACATTAACAGAGTACAATCACTATAACAAATATATGGAGCCTAATTTTTTTAAAGACTGTGAGATCATTACAAATCAGTATTTTATCACCTCAAACACGATGATCTGTCGTTATTTCGACAAAAACACCGAGCGTTGACCCGGCCGGTGCCGCACCAGCCCCCCACGGCAAGCGAGTCGACTCTATACTGTAGTGTACCCCGCGTGCGGGTCACATGCTTTCCGAGTCTCACGGAAGGATTGATGCAAAATAATTCCAAGTTTATTACTTTATACCTGTATTTATTTTAATAGGATATAAACTGATCTTTTAATTGATACCGTACCTTTTTTAAGCCAGTATTTTACATATTTTGTGTAAAAAATGATATTTGAAAATTTTGACTGTATTTTTTAAGGCTTTCTAATGCCAAAGTCCAAAAAATATACCACAGGAAAGCCTGTTTAAAGCTCTACAGTTCTCCGCTGATAAAAGATGGTATTTAATCATCCCACGTTCCGTGAAGCATTTGAATGCACGGGTGTCAATTTTTTAACCGGCCGACAACGCATTCCGACTGCAAGGGGCTTTGCTTTCCTCGGAGATTCTCCAGCTCCTAATAATCGGACATAAAAACAACTTACACCATTGTAAGGAGAAAAAGCTGAACTTTTACAAGGTGTACGGCATTTTCATTTGGTGTTTTATAGCAAAAGAGCAAAGAAACAGCCATCGAAATTACCCCGATTTCACCGATACCACCTGGTCGGAAGGCCGCGAGTGCCCGCGAGGCCGTGTTTACGCTACCTACACTCAGACAACCTACCTTCTTTCCCCGTCAGTTGTTTTTGAATGTTAATTCTCTCTTCTTTAGAGCCATCTCACCATTGGAAGCAGTGTATTAAGTATTACAATTGCTCCCCCAGGCTGGAGCAGCACGAAGACTCGATTCCGCACAAGTCGGTTATGACATATGAGTGGAAGCAGCCTGATGAGGCACCCGTTGAACCAGAGTGTGGAAACTCAGTCCCAACGGCCTCCTTTAGCGTTGACGAGGAAGTCTGGGTCAAGCCGGGTAAAGCAAAATGCACATCAGAGTGGGGCCGAGGGGTTGTCACTAAGGTGAACTCCGCGAACAACGAAGAGGTTGATCTTATGCTGCGGCATGTCTCAGACCTTAGTCCTATCAGGGGTGAGGGGGGAACCGCAGAAACTGAAGATGATGCTTCAAACGAAGGTGAGCGAGGTGGTGAACCAGAAGAGGCTTTTTCCTGCAACGGGCAAGGAGGGCTCTGTTGTGGCAGGACGATTATGTCCTGGGATAACCGTAACTCAGAGGGGGGAATGGGAGGGGGGGGGGGGGGGTGTGTGGTGTGAAGAGAGATTGGTTTGGGACGGGGTATCAAGACTTTCTTGAATATCCTCCCCATGTTTTGTGTTTAGTATTATCAAGATGGGTTAACCGGGGTTATCTTCCCCACGTTTTGTGTTCATGACTGTTATGACGGGTTAAACTGAGGTGACTTGTGTATTCTATTTATGTGGGGTGTGGGTTTTCACTGTATTGATCAATGAGATCAAGGGGGCGTGTGGTCTAATTCGCTGCGATTACCTGGAAGCCAGAAGAATGTGAAATGAGTGAACAAACTCAGTGTAGATTGAGTGAGTGTAGGAAAATAAAGGCGCACAGGGAGGGGGGGGGGGGGTGTATAAAAGGAGACGCGAAATTTGAACCTGCCGTCTGAGCCGCGACTTAGCCTAGGCTGAGAAGGGATCGACGCGACTGGTGGGTCGACCCAGTGGATGGAGCTCCAAAACCTGTAAGACCAACACACATCGTTCCCGCTCGAAACTGTAAGTACTGCACATTATTAGATAACGAGTAGAATCTAGATCGAGCACTTGTCATCTCTTTACAGGAAGGAACACCTGAAGCTGGCCAAAATATTAAACATACGTCACTGTTGTCACTGACTAAAGCCGGCTGACTTAACCCTTTCGCACTTAGCAGGCTTGGCCAGCTGTGGCCCCCCATCCTTAAGACAAGGGCAACAACTCCATGAAAATTGAAGGGGTACCTTACTAAAAAAATTGTATAAAATCACAAACACAACCAAAAATGATGAAAATAGTATTTTCTGAAAGGAAAATGAATGAGCTAAATTACTAGTACAAAATTATAAGTGGAATAGAAGAGTATGAAATGATATGAGAGGTCTTTCTGAGATGCGTGTCTTGGAATCCGAGTCTAGATCTAGATCTAGATCTTAGATCTAGATCTAGGCCTCGTATACATTTCTTCAACTCACGAAGTTTCTGCCACTGACAAAGAGGTAATCCACACAAAAGAAATACAACACATTCACAGAGATTGAAGCCTCTGGTGGAAACTTGAAAGCACCTAAAAGACTTTTCTTTGGGTGTTTTTATTTTGTTTTTGCCGTACTCTTATCAGGCAGCTTTGCGCCCATGCATCCTAGAGACATGATGGCGTGTTTACAACTAAAATCTCTTCCGACTTTTGCTCCCGCTCAAAAAGTGACTCTTTGTGCTAGCGAAACAAGAAAAACACCATATTAAACCGGAACTCTTCCTCTATAAAGATAGGTAAGTGAAACTTCTGATGATAGTAAAAGTAGAAGCCTCCCGCGGCAACGAAACAAACACCCCCGTGGTGGGCGCATTCAGGCGCTATAGGGATGAGCGGGGGTCACCGGCGCCGGCGCATACGGGCGCTGTAAGTGCGAAACGGTTAAACAGGCAGTGGACACTCCCCTTAAATAGGTACCACAAACAGAAATTTCAAAGTCCTCTGATTTCATAGTTAACTGCACTACATTGTAGAATTTATTATTCTGAGCATTTTGATACTAAATTTATACATAGCTTCATTTTTAACAAAATTATGAACATCTGAAGTTGCAGAAAAATGCGATATTTCTTAAATTGCGAATGGAAATGTCTGCAATTTGAGATGTCACAACATTCTTAAATTTAAATGGACATTCACAAAAACTTGTAGACACACACCTATGCACACAGAGAACAAGCCCAATTTTTTTCAGGGTCATCAAATAACCAGAAGAAGGAAATTTATTAACGTAAACATGGCTTTTTGACCAAAACGGCAAAAAATACAAGGGGAAGCTAAAATCACCACTCGCGACCACCAGCTTATCGGCTGCGCGCAGGGCCACGCTGATGGGAAGGAGAGAGAATTCATACGAAACCGGGGCGATGGTGCCCTGCTTGCGAGCTGACGGGGAGCGTCCGGTATTTATTTGCGTATAATGGCTGTGTTATTCTTGAAGAGGAATGAAAGGGCTTTCTGCCGATATATTTCCGTAGTCAGTCGGATCTCTGGTTCCATAAAAAAAACAGCATCGAAAGTTTTCACACGCAAATCTCTTCTATTAATTCTTTAAGGACAGTCTTTAGAAATATATCACTGGAAAAAGCGTCTCCTCATCTTGAAATATAATCGACGAATCAGATTGCAGTGTTTAATACCATATATGCTCCCCGTTCCTGTTCAACTGAGGTCACTCTAAAAATCAATACACGAAACGCGCAGCCGCTGAGGTGAAAACCTCGATAGTGTTGCCTTTTATCTTGCAGGATTTTGCTTTCAAAAAAATTGTTGATTCAAATAAATAATAGGCCTACCACTAAAAAGAGGAAAAACTCCTCTTTCTTCTGATATCAAGATTTCAAGTCTGTGAGTATGCATGATCACACAGTGTTTTAGGAGGGTAAAAATAAGGGTTTTGGTCTCCGTGACAGTGCGCCACGGGGGCGCAAGGCCAGTTTGCGGTACCTACACTAAACGAAGTTTTAGTGCTGTGAACATAGCCTCAACAGCGCCTGCAAACTGCATTCAGGGCGCCGTGAACGTACGCTAGCAAACCATAATCCAAAATCGTGAACATAACTTAGACTTAAGCTTCTAGATCTAGATCTAAAGTGACCAAATTCGGTCTAAACTTCAGGATCGAAATTATCAATTAAACAATAGATTTATTCTAGATTTATTGTATCATTTAATTTTAATGTTCTTCTCTTTATTTTGAAAGGCCACCTCTATTCTCACCCGGGATGAGAATAGTGCAGGCGAGTCTTTTGGCTATTCTCACCAGGTGCGCGTTCACAGTAATTATAGCCTAGATCTAGGCCAACAAATTTTGCGTTCACCCTAAACCACAGAATTCTACACTGTGATAACAGAAAAATTGTAGAATTCTGTGCCGTGAACAAACGTTCCATTACAACTGTAGCCTACTAAAAGCGTACAATTTTGTCTGTGGGCAGTGGAGAGAGAGAGAGAGAGAGAGAGAGAGAAAGAGAGAGAGAGAGAGGAGTAGCGCGAGAACTTCTGGTCAAAACAAAATGGCGACCCGCGTAGTTCGGCTCGATTCGAAAAGTTAAATAGCCGTAGCATCTTTGTAGACAACCAAATTAATTTACTTTTGTGTTTTAACATCATTTTTAAACTTTGTTTTGGTCAATTTGATCGCCCACACCGATAGACAGTATTCAGAAAGAGAGAGAGAGAGAGAGAGAGGGGATGAGCAGATCTTGCGAGAACTTCCGGGCAAAACAAAATGGCGACCCGCGTAGTTCGGCTCGATTCGAACAGTGAAATAGCCATAGCATCTTTGAAGACGATCAAATTATTAGCTTACTTTTGTGCTATAACGTAATTTTTTCTTGGCTTTTATCAATTTGATCATCCACACCGATAGACAGTATTCCAAAATGAGGAAAAGCAGGTCTTGTTTCGCACCGGGTGAGAATAGCCTACGCTGGCAAGTCTCACCCGGGGTGAGAGGTAGATCGCTTTTCTATTCTCACCCCGGATGAGAATAGCCACTTCCATTTTGAAAAGAAAACAACAAGAACAAGTTGTGACAAGACGAATCAGCTCCCTGCAAGGGGATGTAAGTACACGATACATTTTTAATGCATTGAACGTAATGGTAGACTTTATGTACAGAAAAAATCACACAACTTAGGCTGACACTCAAAAAGCCAAACTCCGAACCAAAATAATAAAGAAAAGATTATAAATTTTTATGATCGTTGCTAACCTGGAGTTTGGCATAGACGCCATTTTGAACTTCCGGATACATCAAGGAGTAAATGACTTTTTCGCATTCACTGGACAACATAATCACAACATCATTTTTTTCAATAATGTTGACTCATAGTAAGCTACCTGTAAATGAAAAATTGTTACAGTAAAGCGAATGGAGTAGGTCTCATATTTTTTAGAGCAAATCTAATATTTGGGGTCAAATTTATGTTCACCTTTTATCCGTAAACACGAAAATGTATTAATACGACGTTTACATTTGCATAAGCAATGAAAAAAATATTGTATTATATTTGTCAAGTATTCAAAGTTTTCGATATAAATCAAAAGAAGATTCCTATTTCTAGTCTTTAAGAAGCCAAATAAAATAAATTCATTACTCTTGACACACTTTCTCGAACTTGTTTGGGTTGCGTTTAACGACTGTTTGGTATGTTGTTAGGCACTATCAGCATTGCCGTTCTCAGGATGTTTTCTATGAACTTTGTGTGAAGACTGTTCCTACAATGGATTATTACTTGAGTTTGTGTTTCTGTGACTGACACCGTGCAGGAAAGTATGGAAAATCTGACAAATAACCCATATGTGAACTTCAGATCTCCTCCTGAAGCCCCAGTTTTTACACCAAGCGAGGAAGAGTTTGCCGACCCGTTGGGTTATATAGCCAAAATAAGACCAATTGGTCTACAAAGTGGAATCGTGAAAATAAAACCACCACCGGTTAGTGTTATTAAATCTTTGCACCCAGTGCCATTTATGTATGTGTTTGTACGACGTGATGATGACTCCTTAACTGTTTGTTTTCTGGCACCGTTACTATCATTCGTTTCTACGTGCACGACTTCTGTCTTGACATGGCGACGTCAGCCCCCTCCTCTTTCTCTTCTCTTCTCTGCTAGTAAACCATTCCCATTGCTAAGCTCAGGCAGGGCATGGCCTCTCTGCTAGCTACAGTCCGTGCGAGCAAGCAAAGTGCCCCAGATGATCAATTTAGTATTCATCTCAGTTGTCAAATTTAGACCTTCAGGACCTTGAATTATGTGTGTAATGAACAGTTTACCTTACTTTTGGGGTTAAATTTTACATGTAAATGTGAAATCAGTCACTATCTGAGAAGAAATCTGAAAATAAAGAAATTAGTTAAAATATTAATAGTAGTGAAGCTAGGCCATAGGCATGGATGGTAGATTTTCTAGTCCTCCTTCTCCAAATGAGACTGCCCTGGTAATTTTATTGAAGAAATATATAAATCTCTAGATTTAGTAGGCTACATAATGAATTCAAGGTGCAGATTTTTCTTGACGGGTTAGGACGAAGGAGACATCTCTGCGTTAAAGTCCTTCTTAGTTGATGAAATTAAATTTCTGGAAATGAGATCAAAATTTGGAAATTATGATTTTTCTTTTTAGTTTTAACTTTAACTTAAGGCACTTTGTTCAGTTAGAAGTTCGGTTGCAATTGTTACACGATGATGATACTGAACCATTTTTCCTTTGTGTCTTTTTGCCAGTTTTCCTATTTGTGTAGCATTTCCGTGTATTATGGAAATTATTGGCACCCTATTGCTAAAGGTTAGACAGAAATATTTCTGATGCAATGGAATGATTTGAAATATATTTTTTTTCGTGTAGCCTACTTCATGCAATACTTTTAGGTACCATACTTTTATTTAAAACTCATTTATTTAGCGAAGGCGAAGTGGCAAATTGTTTTTATTTTTTCATCATTCGTTAATTTGTATTTCTTTTTTTTTTTCAAGGATTGGCAGCCTCCTTTTGCGGTGAATGTGGAAACATTCAAATTCACCCCAAGAATCCAGAAACTAAATGAACTTGAGGTAAGTCAAATTAGGTGAATGTTTGGTCAGTCTCTAACTTTTAAAAAAGAAAATGTGGTGGCATTGTTGTTGGCTAGATCACAGGTGTAAATTTGATTTTGAAATTGAAGCACTATCAGTACAATCACTTCTGGACATTGATGCAAACTAACTATGAAATTCAGTTTTCACAGGATTTGTTTTTGGCTAATTGATTATCTTTGAGATTCGTATAGAATCTGACAGTCTCAGTTGCATTTCAGGTTGTTTTTTTATCTTCTATGCTAGTGGGTTGAATGGATTGGTTGTCCTCAATATTTATGAGAGTCCACCTCAATATTTCAACAGTGTAGTGAATAATTGCTTTTCCGTCCTCACAACAGAATACTTCGACTTCTTTCTAACCAGGGTCCAACATTTGGGTAGTGTATTTGGGATGCTGAACATCTCAATGACAATGTGAAGAACAGTTTTCAATTCAATGTTAAATTTATGTGTGATTAATTAAGGTTTCGAGAGATACACTGATAAGTGCCTATTTTGATCTTATTTCAGGCTCATTCAAGAATCAAGTTAAATTTCTTTGATTGTCTTTACAAGTTCTGGGATCTGCAGGTAAGAAGTAATTACTTCTTGAATGTTTTGCTTTTTTTTCTTCTCATTGGACCTTTATGAAAATGCTGGCGTAATTTCTTGTTGAATGTCTACTCATTGATTTTAAGGCAAAGCTGGTTCTGTGTCAGGTTTTCTTTTGTTAAGGAAGTGTAAGATTTCTTCAATTTATCTTTTGGTGTCATAACTGTTGTCCAAGTTGTGAACTGGTCTTTGAACATGAGATAAGTTATATGTGAATATGAGCTTTAAAAAACTCACATTTTTCTAAGGCATGATGATGAAATTTGCCTCTGTGAATATATGATATTCAGCAGATTATGACTGTTTTTGTTTTCACTTTTTCAAAGGGATGTACGCTGAAAATACCTACTGTAGAGCGGAAGATGCTGGATTTATTCAAACTTTTCAAGGTAAGAAGAAATTTTAATATTTTTTTCCCTTATCTTTTATTTCTTGATCAAAGTTCTTTTTTTTTTTTTCAAATATTTATTTATTTATTTTATTTATTTACTTTTGGTGGGTTGAGAATTGTGATTTCTTCTCTTCAAGGATGTGTTTGTGATGTGAAATTCTTCCAGGATCTTCAGTAACAAAGAGTGTCAGTGTGTTGGGTGTGACCTTATTTAAGCCTTGGTGAATTGAATATTTCCATCATCTCATGTGGATTCTTGTGTTTTCTGCTTGGTGTGGACATTTCATAGAGTGATACATGGAAGGCTGAAAAAAAAATGTGGATATTCTGGTATTTCTGGTGATCTATTTGGTGGGGGGGTTTTTTCCTCCCATTTTTGCTTGGTGTAGAAATTTTATGTCATGTTTCGTAGTGATGTGGAATAAAACTTGATTTGCAATAATGAAGAAGCAGTGAGAAGCTTCTTTAAGCTGTTGCAAAAAGGGTTTATGTCATCTGATTAATTCTATCCTAAAATATGGCGTAGCGTAATTGGTGTCCCATACCCTTTGTTACATACGTCATGGGAGGTTCCGTTCCCTATCCTGCAAGGTCACCAGTGGACTTCGTTGTGGTATGTGGACATCGGGCCCAGTGAAATTGTGTCAGTAGTTTGGTGGTAAATGTGTTTGTTTTCAACATCAAGACAGTATCTCGTCAAGATGCTGTGTATGCATTCACAGAAATGAATTGGCTAGGAGAGGTGTAGGGAAAGCTCGTTGAAGTGATAAATACCAAACTTGTGAACTTTGCAAAATGTTTGAGGGAGTGTTCTGACTTACTTCTGTATTCTTTTCATGGGTAGGTGTTGTGCTTGAGGCCTTCTATTGGCAACAAATTTGGTCGACCACCTGTTATCTTCTTGTCTTTTGGCTGTAATGCAATGTTCTGTGGTTACTCTAAATTCATGATCGTCATCTACAATACTGCTACTCTCACTCTTTTATTTGGAGTTCTTTTCTGTCAAGCAATTTTGAGGAGATTGAGCCCTTCACTGATTCTCCATATGGTAACTGCTTTCTCTTGTGTCAAGGGGCTCTTTAAAAAATTTGACTTGGGGGGGGGGGGGGGGGTTCAGGGTTAAGCTTTCTTGTTTGTTTTTTTCTTTTATGGTGTGATGCAAACTTGTAGGTACTATGTGGAGTTTTCAGTCATATTTTAGCACAGTGGAGACACTTCTCAGTTGGTCTTTTTGTTGACACCTATGTCCAAAATAGATTGTTGATGCATGTAGTTTTTCTTTTGGCTGCGAGTATGATGTGGAATTATCCTTTTTTGTGCTAGGATTCAGTCTTTTTGCTATGTGTCCAAAAGCACCCTGTGCATGCTGTGGTTAGGAGAAATGGGGGGAGGGGGTTGAGTGTGTCCTTATCCTTCCATTCTCTTGGTGGTGTTTTAGCACATTTGGATCTTGCTAAATGGGGACTTTAAGCTTTGGCCTTAATTTCTTGAAGATGGTCTGTTGAAAGTGTCATGCACTTTTGACTTCCGACCTAGATTTCTAGCTGTCGGAGGAGTGAAGATGTGCAGTTGAATAACAGAAGTGTGCTGGTGCTCCAGATAGAATTTCTAGCTTGCTATCCAATGATCAAGTAGTAGGAGTCAAAGTTTGGAGCAGTTTCCCTAACTTCAGCTGTGAGATGTGGTTTTTAATGTTTGGTATCTAGGTTTCTAGTAGTGGGGGTCTGGTGGCCATGAGTGATGTCTCTCCTGATCACTGATACTGGGCACTGACATGTCTGAGTGCTCTGTGTTTATGCAGGTCTTGTTAGATATTTGTATCTGGGTTTCAGTTCAAATCAGGGCTTATTAGAATAGTTTGGGAGATTGAAGTCCTGCCCTTTTCTCTCTCTTTTTCCCCCCATTGCTGGCGGACTCAATCACAAGGCTTCCTCTGCTTGCTCACGTCTTCTGTCTTTGTGCTATCTGGGTTTCCAGTTTTCCTCGTCAAGGATTCTTAGGTCACTGTCCGAAAAATGAAAAGCCAGAAAATACGTTTCGGGGAATCAAAACATGGGAAAACTGACGTAAAATTGATGCTGCCGGGGGACTTCTGGCGTTTTGTCAGCTTGACCCCGGGGCTCTTGAGCTGTTTGGGCCTGCCGTGCGTGCAGTGCGGTCGTGCTGCTTTGCAAAGCACCATGGGTACTCCGTGGCATCAGCTGGTGCTGGCGTCACTCTGCCGACGACGAGTCAAATATGGCTGGCTTTCACTCTAAGCGGTTGCCTGCTGGGGCAACAAGTCATTCTTTTCTAGGCTTTTCCAATGCGTTTCTAGGGCCTCAGAATCTGACGGGGTGCCAATCGTTGCCTTAGTGATGGTTTCCGCCCTTCCTTGGTCAGCGTATCAAGGGGCCATCTCCGCTGGGGCTTTGTATCACCTGTTTCGCAACGAGCTGACCTTGGCCTTGTACCTCCAGTTGGCTGCTACATTGGCTGGCTGACTTCCCCCTCCTCCCTCCCTCTCCAGCCCGTTCGTGGTGTAGACAAGTAACTCAGCTAGCTCGGGACCACTCCCAACTGCCAACACGTCAGTAAAATGTACGTTTTCTCATGTCTCTCAATGAGCAACAACCCCCCCTCCCCCAATATTATCCGATCGTCCTCTCATTCTCATTACATTCTCATCACGAAAAAAAAAAAAGTCTTCTAAGTCAGCGCTCCGCGCTGGTTGTCTCCCTTGTTTGTCCCTTGTCTTTGTTTTGTTTCCTTGCTTACTGGTCGGAGAGGAGGCCCGTCCACACGGCCCCCTCCCTTCCGTTATTCCCGATCAGTCTTCAGTTTGCTTCGTACATGTTACAAATTTAATTCAGATTGCACAAAATTGGAATTTGAGTATATCTAGTAGATTTGTCATGATGTCCCATCTTGCAGTATGACTCCGTTTCCTATTCCCTGATTGCTAATTTAGGGACTGGTGGTTCTGGCTAGGCTCTACTATTGGTTTTCGGTTTCTTCCTCCCCGAGCTCGGGGGGTGGGGGGGGGTGGGGGTCGTTATTTCCAGCCGTTGCCCGATTCAAACTGCATTTAGTTATAATCCGTTGAGACTCAGATAATTGGTTAGTCACTCAATCTTGTACTAGCAAGCAAGGTGTCCGTTCCGACCTGGTTATGAAAGGGAAGAGTCGAGAGACTGAGCTTTGAAAGTGCGTGGCGTCCTGTGACGTAGCGTGTGTGATGTCGCGAAGCCCTCACCAGGTCGTGAGGGTTGGCACGTCATCAGCGCCGCCACCCAGCGGCCATAGGCCAAGTCGGAGACAAAGACTAGCCTTGCCTTGCTGAAAGTGGCTTGTTGTCTATGCCCTATGCCATTTGGCTAATCCCAGCCTAGCTCTGCTGCCTTGTCAAATACAGCTTCTGCTCGTTTCTTTTCTTATTTTTTTACCCTCCTTGTCCTTTTTGTTCTCATCATGTGTGTTCGGTCGAATTTAAAAACTGACATCGTTTGTCTCGAGTTCAGTTTTTCGAAAGTAATTATATAGAATAATATCTAGATTCTAACCCTAGCTGAAATGGGTCCCTCAAATGTATAACTGCCTCGTTATGACCGTTACTCTCCTCCTCCCCCCCCCCCCCCACCCACCCAACCCTCCGATCTGCTTGAGGAAGGTGAAGACCACCAGACTTTCTTCCATGGCAAAACAATTCCACTGTGCTTTACTTTTATGACAAAGGCTTTACGATTATTATTGAAATCAAGAGGCAGCTCACAATGTTGTAGTATCATTAGTGAAGAAGTAGGGGGGGGGGGGTGACCTCTTGGTGCAGGCAGAAATCCAATTCACGCACGCTGTCACGTACAGATTCCCGGAACATGCGTACGAAGCTAGTCTATTGATTGCTCCTCCTCCTGCCTCCGTAGTCAACGAATACGTAGGCAAACAAAGAACTCTGTGGGGTCGCTTCTCTACTAAAAAACGCAAATTTCCCCTCTTTCAATGTTGTTTATCCTTTTATTAATATCACCTCCTTCGTATACTACGAACACCACATTATCGGACAAATCGTTCATTCTCCGTCTCTTTCTTTTCTGTTCGTTTTTGTTTTTACGGCGACGTACGTGGGGGAGAGAGATCCGTGTTGTGTTCCCCGATACTTTGTGGGAGTGGCCTGACAGCTGGCCACGACTTCGTCTAAACATGTTGTTATTTTGTTTCTGTGCACCGCTCATCATGTTTCCCTCCCTAGTATCACCTTCTATTTTGCCCGTGTCCGTCTCCTACTCCTAGTCATCAGCTCAAACGAGCAGTGAGTGTACGCGGAGGTGTCCAACTTGACCCAGTTCTTTGTTTGCAAACTTCAATTCCTAATGGGGCTTCCGCCGTGGTGTTCAGCGAAGCGTTACTTTTTTAGCTTTCCCTTGCTTGTAATAATAATATAAAGAAAGTGGGGTTGGGGACGGGGTGTGACAAACGATTTATTTTTCAGTTTGTAAGAATTTCCGACATCAGGAAAAAACTGAAGAGTTTATGGAATGAGCTGTCCTGTCCTCCCTTTTTTTCTTTCGTGGAATGGCTTGACGCGGAAGTCGGGCTGTTTTGAGAGATGTTTCGTGTGCACAAGTAAATGACTGACAGTTACATTATAACCCCGAAAGGATTTTAATAATTTAATGTTTGTTGTACTGAACAATCATCAGCTGACTTGGGGCGGCCTGTACCTGCATTTAACTTTTCAAAATGGCCGAGCAGTCCGGGAAAGATTCACCCCTGTTTTTAGCCCCTTTTTAAATCTTGTTGTCTTGTCTCTGCTTCAAAGGACACCCCCCCCCCCTTTTTCCCCTATTTTTTGGGGGGCAAAATAAGTCTTTCTTTCACAGCCTCTTTGATTGTGTATCGTTTTTAACAAGAGTTGATTATAATCTGGTTTTATCCTGTCTTCAGTGCTGCTGCTGCTGGCAGTGCTCGGATATGATCAAGGCGCAAACACCTCATTTCACCTCTCCACCTTCTCCTGCCATCTCAAGTACCTCTCGAAACAAACAATTCCAAAACAAGAACAACAATTGTTTACGTGTCTGTCTCGAAAGAGGATTTGCTAAGTAATTCTAGTCGATGGTTGCGCCCCCCCCCCCCCACCCCCCCAAAAAAGCTACCTTTTTCTTTTTCTGCCTGGAGTGTGCAGTCTAGAAAGAAAAAAAGTACTGTAGCGCTGAAACCATGCCTGAGACATATTTATATAAAAAAAAGCATCTGTGTGTTGTGTCGTACGTGCGCCCCCCCCCCCCCCTCCCTCAATCCCCGATCTCGATGGGCAGAGCTTGCCAATGTTGCAGAGACATGTATTTTGCATGTCGATCAAGCCAGCAGAAGTGCCCGGATGTTGGCCATTCACGTGACCATAAACACGTCGTGAATGGCCCAGCACAAAGGGCAAGGGGGGGGGGGGGCGTACGTTGGTTGAAAACGGTCTTGCATTGATTATTTACTGATAGGGTCGTAATAGGTCCACTGTTTTAATGATGTCCAGTCGACCTTACCCCAGATTGTGGCCCATGCAGGTGGCATCGCGATATCATATTATGTCCCCTCTTTTTATTTTTTGAGTCAGCACTTCCTCGTTTCCTCACGCTCCCCTCGCACCCGTCAAGACAGGTCATAATCCTCCGATCAGGGAGGGGGGGGGGTCCTTCCCTTTTATAATGACGTATGGACTGTCTTGCGGGGTATTTAACTCCTGCAACTTAAAATGAATTCACTATAGCCCAAATTTGATAAAAGTGCGGCTGAAGTAGCCGCAAGAATAACATGCCCCCCCCCCCCAACATATTATTACAGATGTTTTACATAATTCTTCTTTTATCGGGGAAAAAAATGAAAGGTTTTGTTTGTCTTTTTTGGGTTGGGGAAAGGGGGAGGGGTGCTGGAGTAGTCTCATTTATTATCATTTATCAAACAACTCGTATGGAGGTCTTCCCTTCAGTTCAAGGCTGTGTTAAGTGTGTGCACTCTTCCTTTGACAGCTGGGTTGTCCTAGGGGTGCTATTTTATAAATTATTATTTATTTTTTGGGGCACGTATGTGTTTTTTGTGTGTGTTTGGTATTGGTGGGGTGATGTAAACGTTCAACTGCTTTAATCGAATTAATATCGTCACGGCAGTGGAGAAGACGATGGTCCACTGTCTCGTGACCCTGGAATGATCGGGATGGTGGTACGGCCGCGACCATATGTTTTAAAATTTTTATATATCTTTTAAAAAAAATGCTGCCTTAATTGTATTTGTTGGTTCTTGCGCGGTTTTGAAAGACGACGTGTGTGCAAATAAATGGCCGGGATGAAATATAAAGATTTTTCCCTTTTCTGCGCCCCCCCCCCCCCCACCTCCCCGTTTTGTGGACTTCCTGCTTTTCCCTTTCTTCGTGTTCATTGTAAAACTGTCTTTCTCGTCTCATTGTTCTGAGGTAGCCTTACCTTACAGGTTTTGTTTTCTTGTGTAAATGCGAGACTGCATTGTTACCTCATTTCTGATGATATCCAGTTCCTCTGTCATTTCTTTATTGACGTTCACTTCCGTGTGTCAAGGTTGCATAATATTTTTTTTTCACACAAATTATGCGACACGCTTACAGACTCAGTCCGGGTGGATTTATAAAACGGTGATATATCGTTGGAAGATTGAGCTTTCTGCATTTTGAAGTTGGGTTGAAAATGCCTGGAAGACCTCACTTCCTGTTTGTTCCATCAGCAGTCTCATTGTTTGAGCATTTGGGGCGCATGTTGTTCCTGCAATTGTATTGCTTCTTTGGCATTTAGCTTCATAGTGGATGCTCTTTCCTCTCTGTTCTTTGCCTTATAAATGTATTGTCGGGTGTGGGAAAATGTTCTTTGTTGCTATTATTGTTGTTAAATTCTTCCAGGAGGATGATTATACTTCTTTAGCTTTGTAATGATTGGTTTGCTGTTTAACTCAATATGCATCACATTGGACTGTGGAGTGGATGGCCCTAGTTTGAACCCCAAAAGGGATGTTCTGGACCAAGGTCGTTTCGGAAAGTTTTTAAGGTTCTCCACCTATCTCTGGCACAGTCCTGTTGGAAATGGATGTTAAATTCGGAGGTCCTGTCTTTTGAATAAATATAACCTTACGGTGTTGAATGGGGTATTAAAAGTATAAATGAATAGCTTTGTGGTTGAACATCTCTATTTTAGAGTTAAAATATATGTACCTTTTATGGCCACCTAGGAGTATAAAACAGTTTTCAATTCGTTTTTTTTTTTTTAGAAACTTTGAATATTGCCAATGTGGTACATCTCAGCTGTAGACATTTTAAGGATTTGTAGCAATTTTGTATATTTAAAACATGTTTCTGAGCAATTCTATACATTCCAGATATTACAAGTCTAAAAACTGAATTTTTAGCTGAATTACATTATGCAGGTCTGTAAACTATGATTGTAAAGCATGCCATTTGCTCAGTTGGTATCATAATCATGGCGGACTCTGGAGTGGATGGCCTTGGTTTCAATTTTCAATGAGGTATTCTGAGCTTGGTTTGTTTTGGCACTGAACCCATTTAATTTGGCCCTATCAGAGATGGGCGTTGAATTTGGGGTCCTGCTTCTTAAAATAAATAACCCTATTGTGTTGAAAGAGGCACAACCAAACAATTTCTCTCTTCTTTTTTTTTTCTCGTATGAATATTGAAATGTGGGTAAGTATGTCAGTGCTGAATGATGTCTTACAAGGCTAGTCTTTTTGTTTCTGTTCTCAGACTGTGGAGGAGGAGGGTGGTATGGAATTCCTCTCGAGGGAAAGACGCTGGGCCCAGGTGGCATTGCGGATGGGCTACCCATCTGGCAGGGGCCTGGGTGGAACCCTCAAGCACCACTACGAGAAGCTTCTCTTTCCATTCTTTCTGTTTAAGAAAGGAGAGACGGTCAGCCGCATTCCAGAGGTATTTTTCATTTGGGAACATTTAGATTGTACCAAGTTGTTGTCCTGTTAAAGCATTATCATGGATTGTCTATTGCGATATGATTTTAAAAATTTTATGAACAGTAGACCCAATGCTATAAGTTGGGGAGTTTGAACAATTTTCTTTGTTTAAATAATAAAAAGAATTGTTATAGTGAATAATAATTCTTTTTTTTTTTACCACTGCCATAATCAGTTTTGTGTTATCTTTTTTCGTAGATTGTATCCCTGTTCATAAATTTGATGAGATGCGTTGTAAATGCCTCCTTATTTAGATTTTACAAAATGATGCGTGCTTAAAAGTTTTACACCACCTCTGTATTTACAGCAAAAGCCTCTTCCGTCAGATGAAATAGACAAATCTGACAAAGACTACAAGCCTCATTGGAAATTGAATGCTGCTGACAAGCAACGCAAATCGAAGAGAGCTCCAAAGGAGGTTGGCATTGTGTTGCCTTCTGTTCTGTTCTTTGTTCATGGCTATGTGCTCATGCATAAGAGCTCATAGTGTCTTCTTCACTGTTTGTTTTGATGTTGCATTTTTTGCTGGTGTTGCCTTCGCCTCCATTGTATGTTTATTGTTTATGGTAGGCTCCCACACTCCTTCACTAAATAACTTTAAAAAAAACCCAACTAAACTGAGGTTGCTCACTGAAAATGTCTGCAGGTGGAGAGGTAGTTTGGAACTCCTTGTTTTTTGCCACCATGAGTGTGTTTTTGTTGGATGCACTGTTACATTGTTATGAGTTCTTTCGTGTTAAAACGTTTGGGAAACATGTGCTTTTTCCTTTCTCTCTATCAGTCGACTCTCTTAATTGTTCTGCTATGGTCTGGTAGGTGTTCTATGACGGTGCTATAGGCAGTTTAATGGTCTTGTAAGTCCCATTCTAATCTGAGTTTCTATTTTTTCTTTACATAAGATCAAGTTTACTATTAATAGCAAAATAGACTCCTGGCAGTTTAAAAAAAAAAGAAACAGACATAGTTTATCTAAAAAGGTCCTTTCATATTACGTTATCAGCCTCTTTCCTTTATGGGGACAATATTGAGAAAGAAAGCACAGAAGAGTTTCTCATTTTTCTATGCTGCCATTTTGAAATGTGCTTCACAATCACCATCATGGAGTACATTGGTTCATAGGCCACACCCCAAGTCCTTCTAATGTTGTTACTGTTGGGCTGTTTCAGAGCCCATCTCCAACAAAAGAAGAACTATCTGACCCAACTTTAGCATTCAAGGTTTGCATTTTTCTTTTAAACTTTTCTCTTTTATGTAAATTTTTAAAGACATGTATGAGACTCATGAAATGAAATGTTTGAAGGTTTAGAAAAATTTTTTCCAGTGTTTTTGGTACACGTTTGCTTTTTAGATAATCACATGCCTTCATAGTTAACTGCTGTGACTCTTTCTTTCCTTTCTTTTTTTATTTTCATAAGTTGATTATACAAACAGGTTTGTGTGTATAATTTGATTGTGATCTCTTGTATATTTTGAGGTTCTTTTCAATTTTTCAGTTTTGGTAAGTAACTTCTAATAAAACATTTTATTTATTGAAAACTAGTGCAAAAACTAAGGAAGTGTAATATTTTTGCTTGTGAACTTTGTGGATATTTTAGAAGGAATTTTAATAGTTTGTCATTTGATGTATTGTTTTTACATTGTTGGATGTAGCATTTCATTTTTTTTTTTATGTTGAAGGCATTTTACTTCTTAAAAATATCTTTGTAGCATCAGGTGATCTTTCATTTTTGTTGAATAATTTTGCACTTAAAAGTTTTTGGTCTGAACAAGTTTGATTCTACTTTTAAAAATATTGAAGTAGTGCTTGTTTTTTAAGTGAAAAAACTGAAAGCATCTCTAAAGGTAGCTAATTAGATTCCCCTGATTATCAAGATTGATTTTTAAAAAGAAAGAAAAGGAATGAAACATTTTTATTTTCTGTTCTGTGTGTACGAAAAAAATGCAATTTTTCAAGAATAGCAAATAGGGGAAAAGGGTTAGGAATGTTATGAATGTACATTCAGGGTTTTGTGGCAAGTAGAAAAAGGGTCAGAGTCACATGATCAAGTAGGATCAAGGGCTTAATCTTCTTGGAGAAGGGTGAAAAATTTTGTAGGTCCTGTATGAAAGTTTCACATGTTAAAGAAATTATTTCCTATACCATACCCAAATGTAATGCCACTCTAGTCAGGTGGTATGTGGCTGCCTGTCAGGCAAGGGATTATGCTTCATTGTATGTAGATAAAGCCGTCATGTCCGTAAAATCAACTGCATTTTGAAATTATCTTACTGTCATTTGCTCTCCAAGCTCTAGCAGGGGTACGAGAAAAAAGGAGACATGACCAAGTGGTACTGAAGTTGAAGCCACTGTAGAACATATTTTTGTCATGTATATAAAGTGGAGCAAGATTAGGGGTTTCATTTTGTTTTTGGAAAGCGTGTAGAGCATGGAAAGTTAAAAAAAAAGATTTCTCACAACAGAAACGGGTTATTATGTGTCGTGGGAAGTTAGATTAGCGTGTTAAGTAAAAAGAGAGGTTGAAGTTACTGGGTGAAAGATTTGAATATTGTTCATTTGCTGGATTGGAATGGTTCTGTCAAGGTTAAATGAAGTTCTTTTTCAGGGTAAATGAAATCTTTGAGGTGAATGGCCAGAGACATAATGGAATGGTGTTGACAGATGTTACGGATTAGAAGCATGAGGGGCTAGTCAACTATTTGTTTGAAATCATTCAATAAAAAAAAAAAGAAGAAGATAAAAGGATTAGACACAAGGTAAGTTTTACATATGTTGTTTTAATTTTGTTGCCCTCAGGATCCTGACATTGACTACAGTGCTAACAGTGAACTCAGAAAGCTTCAGTTCTTTGGCGCTGGCCCCAAAGCAGCAGTACCTGGCTCTAAAGGTAATGTTTGTTTTTGCAGGCATATACATTTTTTAATACTTCGGACAATAACGAACGTTATGAGTTGAGAGCTTAGCTATGCACTTCATAGGAAAGAACGGGATTCACAGCGTGAATTTTATTATTAAAGTCTGACATACTGATGTTTAATTGTTTCATTTTTATGTATCGAATTTTATGTAGTCTTAATTGCTGAAAGTCTTTTAGAGCGAGTTCAAATCAAATACCAATTTAAAAGGCAGACCCTGGTTTATCTGTGCTATAATTTTTTCAACTAGTCAGTTTTGTATGTTTTTTTATGTCCCTTGAAGTAAAGAGTAGCTTGAGATTTAAATGTTGAACAAGAGTTGTCTTCTTGTCCCATTTTAAGTTTTTATCTTAATTTAAAGTAAATGTCGTTGCAGGTCTTCTCATCATTGCAAACTTAGCGAAACCATTACCATTTTTGTTTTTGAATTTTACAAAAATACGATTGTAATATTCATGATTCTGATTTCAACAAATTTATTTACCACTCAGCAACCCCAACCCATTCCCACCCTCTGCACATATCCTACAAGGAAGAAAAACAATCACACCCCAACAGTAGGCAGAGCTACATCATGTGCTGCTGTATGACTTTAACACCTTCAGTGCATAGAGCCCTATAGTCTCTTTGACCTTAGAAAAACAAGAGTTGTGCCAAAGCCAGGAGTAAGACAAACAATTGATTTGACAAGGTGTTAAAAAATCCCTGGTTGATGGCCTAGACCAATAGTAGAGCATCCAGTATTTAAAAAAATCCCAAAACAACAGATCTTGTTTTGAAACTTGTGGTTCTGTTCCATCAATTTTTTTGGTTTATTTTTTAAAGATTCAAGGTCGCAGCCAATAAGTACCCCCCCCCCCCCCCCCTTTTTTTTTTCTCCTTAAGTGGACAAAGAGGAGCCTGCGGAGACCTGTTTTATTATGCCTTTGTTTGCGTTATATATATCCATGCAATTACAGCCCATGTCTTTGGCACTCAGAGGAAAAAGATGACCAAAACATGTGCTGGTGGGTGGGTATAGGTTGTGGGAATATCTTCCATTACTTGTTTGAATGATGATGAAAACCCTTTTTTTGTTAAAAAAAATGTATTCTCAGAAATTTGACTCAGTAGCAGTTGAGAATAAAATGCATTTCCCCTATTTAGCTTACATGCAAGCTGTTGTAAAACAGAGAACCCTTGCCGAATATTCAGTTTTTATGCCATTGATTTTACAGATGATCCTGAGATCAAAGAAGAGAAAGTGGACAACAGAAAGAGCAGAATCAAGATGGCTATACCAGGAGCCTACTCAGGGGTAAGTTACACTTGACATTTTCTAAAAGTGGTGCTCAATTGTGTTTAGGGGCTTTTTTGTGCTAAAACAGGCTGTAAGTTATGCAGTGATATTATAATGATGCATCATTCTATAACACCGACTCCATAGAAAAGAATACAACTCGAGAAGGACTAAATATGAAGATGGCATTTCATGAAGTGTATTTTTAAGTGTTGAATTTTAAATTTTGCTTCCTTCTTTATATCTTTCAAATTTTATGGGAGATGGTTCCAGATAGATGGAGCTTGCTGAGAAAAAGACCTCCCTCTGTTTTTGACCCTCCCTTCCAAAGAGAACATATGTTTTTTTCGAAATTGTGTCTAAATTATAAATATTGTTAAATTGCGATTGTGCCTAATGACTTGGATGATTTTTTTTCTTTAAACATTTTCAAGGCCATAAAGAAACAAAATTAGTATTGCCACCATTTGGACTTGTTTTTTGTTTTTTACACCATTGATAGTACAGTCTAGTGACCACCTACCCAATACAATCCTGTGTACCTCTTTCCCCGTTGGATTTATAAAAAATGTTTTGACGATACTGTCCAAAACATCCCCCTGTTTAAGACAACCTATTTTCACCTGGCAATAGGTGACCATTTTGAACAGTTTTCAGTGCTTCCACTCTTCTGTATTTTTACGGAAATCCGTACTTTCTGCCAGTTCCATACTTGTGCCTCCATCATTATCAACTCCCTGTGTAAAAATCTGCGACGATGTAGGACTACCAAAAGTGCGTATTAAAACTCGCCTTCATATCGTCTTGTATAAGTTACCGATAATTACGGTAATTCTCTCGGCAATAAGTTAATGTTATAGAAACCTGCCGGATTGTGCTTTTCCTGCCATCGGCCGTTATTCCGCTATGCCCCTTGCAGTCATTGCGGGTTGGTCGGCAGTACTTTTTTTACCTGCAGATTGATAAAAATATGGCGAACTTTTTGTGCCACTTTCCTCCTTTCTACCATTCCCTCATTCTGTCTGTCTATCTTCGGATTGTTGTCGCGGCTGGAGAATCTGTGCGTTGATCTAGTAAATTGACTTGTGATCTCAGATGGAAAATTACTGTCAGAAAGATACTTTTTTGCAAATGTATTGTCTAGATCTAGAGAAATAATCAGTGCGAAGATTCTACGGCACGGGAACGCGATAAGGGCTGCGGTGAAAGAAATTTGTGCTAAAACTACTAAAATCAAGAATAATTCGAAGTGATGTTGCGAGGTTGTGACCTGCGACATTCAGGCATGAAAATTGAGGAAAATTAGGGTAGATCTATACGCTGGGTAACTATTGTGAAGGTACATATCTATTCATTATTCCCAGGTTTGCCTTCTACTTCTATCAATGGTGCGATGACAAATTAATCGAATTATAGTAGCAATGGAAGGGAAACCTGCTTTTAAACATTGCCAGCAATAAAAAGAAATGCAGGTGAAGAAATCAAGCAAGACAAAATCTTGGTGAAAAAATAGGCAGTGTGGGTTGTTGGCAATCTCTTCAAACAGGCTCCCAAATGCCATTTTCAACCCTCTAAAAGTACTAAATTTCCCTGGACCCTGCAGAATTTTCCATACTTTTCAGCTTCAGCTTGTGGAAGCTCTGAGTTTTGATTACTTTCAAAGGATGCTAGTTGTGTATTACCTTGAGGACCAAAATACGTTACGTTACATCCTGAAGTTTATCATTTGTTGTCCTGTTGTGGAATATGTTTGTGATAGAGTCCCCAGCACATGCTGTAGGACAAAGTCATTTATAGTTTTCATATGTTGCTTTTCAGTCTTAATGTTTTCTGTTTATGCATTCTGCAGGCTGACAAGTATTACTGTCATATGTGCGGCCGTGGTGATGGTGATGAGCAAATGCTACTGTGCGACGGTTGTGACGATGCCTTCCACACCTACTGCTTGGTGCCACCGTTGGCTGAGGTGCCGAAAGGAGACTGGAGGTGCCCAGCTTGCGTGAAGCAGGTAAGCTTAGCATCAAACTCCTACAGCGGGTAGTTATAGGGGGCCACTGGTAGGTCCTACTGCTTTTCTTTCCCTCTGTTATTTCTGTCTATCCGTCTTGCTTATTCTTTGCACTATATTACTGTTATTGTGTTGATGTACTTTTCTTTTGATTGGTAAGTGTTTTACGGCTTTTGCAACTGCATACGGTCATGTGAGGGCACGGGATGTACTTCTCTTTACTCAAGCTAAAACTCAAACCCATATAATGACAACTTGTTTTGTGGCAGACTTACCGCCAACCTTGGCTTACTGCTTGGTGGATAGAAGAAAAATTTTGTATAGATTGTCTTGGTTTTAAATGACTTGACTTGCATGTTTCTGTGTATGTTTCAGAGAAATCCTTATGTAAATTGAATATCGTTTCATTTGTCTTGCAGGCATGCAGCAAGCCTTTAGAACCATATGGCTTTGACCAGAGCAAGCGAGACTACACTTTGCAGTCTTTTGGAGAGATGGCGGACCACTTCAAGGCATCTTATTTCAAAATGCCCGTTCATGTAAGTCTCAATTGGGAAATGTCTTGGAAACCGCTGAATAATTTGCTTTCCTATCAACTAAATTACTTGATGGTTTCTGACAGTGAAAGCCTTTGCTATCTGTAACATGAATTAAAAAAAAAAAGTAAGGAAGGACAATGCTGCCTTTGAGTCAGTGGGCTTTTATCTTTATTAATGTTATACAGTGGATGGAAACATAGAAAGCTATTCTCTGCACCTTAAATTTAGGAAAGTTAAATATTTTTCTCCTTGAAATATGAGCTCATTAATATTTAAGGGATGTAGTTAGTTATATTTATAGTTTACAAAACTGGGGTGGGAGGTTGGAAGAATGAATGAAATAGATAATTTTAGTCAGTGAAGTGAAGGGACCAAATCAAGAGATTTATGGGAGTCTCACGTGAACCTTGTATAAGAGGAAATTCAAGATTTTGGCATTGTTGAAGAGTTAATGAAAAAAAAAATTGATTTTTTATTTTTTACATTTTCAGCGAGTGACAACACAGCAAGTTGAACGGGAGTTTTGGCGTCTGGTTCAAAGCCTGGAGGAAAATGTGATGGTGCAGTATGGTGCTGATATCCACGCCATGGAAATGGGCAGCGGGTTCCCCACCAAAAACACAGAGGATCTACTACCAGAAGATGAGGTCAGGGTTATTTTTAAGAATCTTTTTTCTTTTTGCAATGCAGCTTAAGTTGCTGTATTTATTCTTCTTACTCTCAGATGGGAAAGACATAAATTGAGCACAGCCTATAAAGCAGAATGTCTAATGCTTGATAGGGTCACTCAATTATAGCCAGTCTCTTTATCATATCTGGCAGAGCAGTTACACTTTAGACGAAGAGATTCTGCTTAAATAGAAAAGAATTTGTTGATAATTTTGTGTTTTGGGCAATTGTACTCTCTGGTGTTGATTAGATTTTATATGACATCTTCTAGTGCAGTTTGAAAGATGTCACCCAATGTTTCTCAGAAGCCCACAACTTGCACACCTTTTTTTTTTTCGAATCTTGCAAATCCTACATTGAAAATGTTCTTATATTATTTGGACTCAATATAAACTTTTACTTTGTGTTGCACATAATATTATATTTTGTAAACAACTTTTTTGTCCAGGAGTATGTGACTTCTGGGTGGAACTTGAATAACTTGCCTGTCTTGGAGCAGTCTGTTCTGTGCCACATCAATGCTGATATCTCTGGCATGAAGGTGAGGCAGTGGGTGGATGGCAGGTGCTCTGGTGTGGTTTGCTTCTTTCCTATCAAATATCTATCGTCCTTGTCTCCCCTTCTTCTTTTTTATGTTTGTTACTCTCTTGTAACACCTCTAATCCTCTGGCGCTCTTATGACCTTATACAGTTGCGAGCGCCGTAAAACCTCTACTAAGCAAACTAGGCGAAGGTGAGGCAGCCTGTCGTGATGGAGTTTTTTTTTAATAGCTGATATGGGCGTTTGATTTTGCTTTTAGGTTGAGCACAAGTCAGCTTATGCAATCATTTTTTTTCAGGAACTGGTCAATGCAACTGGTAAAAATGGACATTGTTTCCTCGTATAAGTATATAACCACTGGCCCAAGAAAAAGTACTAAACGTTATTTAAAGTGGGTAATAAAAATCCTGAGAGGCTAATTTGTCTTGCAATTAGACCTGCATGTTTGCCGACAATCGTCTGAAGTCCGACGCCCACAAAAGCTCTTATTGGGTGCGCAAAATTTTCAGACAATCTGGTTGAGGCTCACATGCAGGTCTATTGCAATGTAATTTTTGTTATGGTTGACTTGCCAGGAAAGTCTCTGAGGTGTTAAGAATTGCATTCATTTTTGTTGGCTAGGTTTTTTAAAGAAAAGTGCAGGCAACTGAGATTTGGATCCCCCACCCCACTCCAAATTGGTTGCTATGTTGATGATGTGCTGAGATTATCCTGAAATGTTTTTTTGTTTTTTACAGGTGCCCTGGTGCTATGTTGGCATGTGTTTCTCCAGCTTCTGCTGGCACATTGAAGACCACTGGAGCTACTCCATCAACTACCTGCACTGGTGAGTCACGCGGGCTAATGGTTACCTTTGTCACCTCACTTGTAAGAGTCTGATTTTGAGGACAGTAGTGTTCCTGTGTGTTGTTAACCCTCTGATGTTTGTCAAACACATTTGTTTTGTAGATTTCCTTGACATTGTTTATTTTCAAATTGATTGCCCTTTGTGGTATAAAAATGCAGTCTCTCAGGAAGTTCAAAAGCTGGGTGCTGAGGAAAACCTTTTTTCTTATTTACAGCGGTAAATAGTAGTGATGGTAAAAAGGGAAGGCTTTTGGTATTGCAGTGGCCTATGACACCATTTTGAATAAAGTTAAAGTTTTATAGGTTGCTTTTGTTCTTTTCAGTATAAGGCAGCAAGTTTTTGAGTACTTTTTGCTACTTTATATCAAAAGTCATGCAGGTGTCATCCAGTGTAAGGGTTTTTGTTTTTAGAACAATACTCTGTAGATGGTGAAAACTGGCAATGTGTATTATCCTTGTAACAAACTCACACTCAGGGATTGCGAATGACTCTGGTGATAACATGTTTTACACTGGGCAACTGTAGTTTTAATCTATTTCTTGACTAAGGTTGTTTGAAAATTTTTGTAACGCTGAAATCTGTAGGTTTTTAAAAAATACTGGTTGTCCTTTTTGGATACTATGAATGGTCCTGTAAAGTGTGTAAAACTCATACAAATGACGTTCACTCTGGCTACTTCCTTTTCTATGTCCAGGGGTGAGCCCAAGTCTTGGTACGGAGTGCCAGGCCCAGCAGCCACCAAGTTTGAGGATGCCATGCGGGAGACTGCGCCGGAACTGTTTGAACAGGCCCCTGACCTACTGCACCAGCTGACCACCATCATGAACCCCAACCTGCTTATGGCCAAGGGAGTGCCTGTGAGGAGACTTACCTTTTTGTTTTATCGGACCACTTGTTCCACATCTTCTCAGTGTCTGGCTGATTTTAGCTTAAAAGATTATTGCGACTTCTCGGTGTAAGACTCCGTCATATATTACTTTTCAGAATGGCGGATTCTTACACAAAGCATTCGATTTGTATACTGAGATCTTTTATTCTTATTTTGAATGCTAATTGGGTAATGAAATGCTTAGATTTTTCTAAAGACCTCCGGGTCTGATACGCTGTTTCTCCATTTTTTCATTGATGAGTTTTTCATTCTTCTTCTTGTTGGTTTTCTTCCCGTGATGAATGTGTTGTGCTGCTAGTGTTATCTTTATCATTTCTCCACAAGCACCTCCTGTGTTGTTACTTGAGACAATTTTGAATTTGTGACAAATCAAGTATTTTGCTACATTCTTGGCCTAATGATCTGTTTTTATTTCTTTCACTTTCAGATTGTGCGCACAGACCAATGTGCTGGAGAGTTTGTGGTGACCTTTCCACGGGCCTACCATGCTGGCTTCAACCAAGGCTACAACTTCGCAGAGGCTGTCAATTTCTGTCCTGCAGACTGGGTAGTTAGCCTTTGTGTTGCTTTCACTAGAAAACACTTTCTTTTTTGTCATAAGAAAAGAATACTAAAGGCAGAGTTTTTTTTGGGTGTTTTTTGTTGTTGTTAGGATAAAACAACATTTCGTTATATTAAGTTTGACTGGACAGCCCATACATGAAATATTCTTGCAGATTTCTTTTAAAAATTTGAGCATTTTTAGATTTTGCTTTGATGAGGTAATGCATTCCTAGAAGCAAAAAAAGTTATTTGTATAATATTTGATTTTTAGAGGGGAGGAAGGCATTTACCTTTTAGCCAAATGGTCATTATTGCCATGCGGTGTATGGTGTTAGGTTTTAAAAGAGTTTTTAAGTTATTGCTAATTTTTTAGTATTGAGTGAACAATGTTGAAGAATAAATGATAATGTATTCTTCACTTGTTCTGCAGCTGCCCATTGGTCGAGCGTGCATCGACCACTACCGCTCACTTCACCGCCAGTGTGTGTTCTCGCACGAGGAACTCATCTGTAAGATGGCTGCGGATCCTGATAGCCTTGACCTCAATCTTGCGGCAGCCACGCACCAGGACATGCTATCCATGGTGGAGGAGGAGAGAGACCTGCGGAAGGCGCTGCTAGACCGGGTCAGTACAGCTTTTCAGCTTGTTCTTCTGTGTTTTTTTTTCTTTTTTATCGTTGCGTTCCTTCCTGTTGCGTGATCCGCATGATGGGTGTCTCCAGTCTTTCTATTTTGCTTTGTAATGTGCGAATAATAAAAGGGTGCTGCTAGTGTAGTTTCTTTTTTACCTTGTTGTTTTGATATTTCTGCCCAGTACCTTGCTTTTTTTTTCTTATAGAAATAGAATATGGTAATGTGCTCAGACCTGCCACTTATCCCAATTTAGTTGGGATATCCCGATTTTTTGTCCCAAGTCTCAAGCATCCCGATTTTCTCGATTTCGTTCTTGTGTATCCCAATTTTTATTTTTTTTTCATCAGATTCTTAGAAAAAAAATCTTGCCTTTTCTTTTGCTGGGAAGCACCGATTTGGACTTTTTTTTATCAGCAGGGACTTGGAACGCTATATTCTAAAACGTCAATGCTGGACTAGTAGAAGTTATTTTGTTCTGTCTTGGGTTTCTTTTGGGAAGTCTCTCTTTATTTCTAATTTTTCTCTTATAAGAAGTGGATATCGGATTCTGGTGCAGTCTTTCCCATATTTTCTGTGTTGCTATTGTACTGATGTAATGTAACCTTTATTGTGCTTAATAAGCAGAAATGCAGTTCAACGGCTGTGAAAAACCTTTGAGATTTTTTACATTTTGCTTCTTTTTTTTTTTCTTGAGCTATGTTTTTGTTTTTATTTTATCCCCAACTCTTATGGTAATTCTTCAGGGTACCATCAATGCTGAGCGCGAAGCCTTTGAGCTGCTGCCTGATGATGAACGACAGTGTGACGTGTGCAAGACCACATGCTTTTTGTCCTCAGTCACCTGTTCTTGTCAGCCCAGTGAGTATTTTCTTCTTCTCTGTGATAGTAGAAGTTATTTCATTTTAGCCTCACATTTGAGAAAAATGATACACTGTGCTGTTGTTGCATTGTGCAGGGGTTACTTGGTTCTATTAAGTTGTCCTACAGTGAGATGGCATCTCTAGCGTGATCCCAAATAGAGTGATTCTTTGTTACCTTTTTGTAGAGATTGTTTTTCTCTGAGGATACAGGGTGTTGGAAAGTGCTACTGTATGGGTTCTTATACTTTCCTGCTTGATCATCATCTTGCTTTTTCTGAACACCACACGACTATACATTTGTGCCTACAAATTTCTTTTCATCTGGTGTACCAATTCATAAGTAAGCAGTAAAGATTCTGGCGAAAATCCTGTGCCACTTTGCCACTCTCCCTAATGTTTGGAAAGGTTAGGAGAATGAGTACCCTAGCTTGTGTAATGTGTTTGCTAATGCTTATACAGTGGAGTTTTGGCAGAACATAATGAATTTTGTGATTGGTCCTCAGGTCGCTTAGCTTGTTTGTACCACGTAGAGGATCTGTGTGACTGCCCAGCGTCGCAGCATGTTTTGCGCTACAGATACACCCTCGATGAACTTCCCAGCATGCTCCATCGACTAAAGGTGCGTGCGGAATCTTACGACAACTGGAACATGGTTGTGAGGAATGCTCTCGAAGCTGCTGGAGATGAGAAACTTGGTAAGTTTCTGTAGAATGAACTGATTGAAAGAAAAGGCACAAAATTAAAATAGAGGCGAACTGCTCTAATGACCACCTGTCCAAGACAACCACCCCAGACAAACGACAAACAGCCGCCCACCACCTCACCCCTGAAGCATTTTTCTTTATTATAATGATTCTGTTCAAGTGGACCATCTGTCTGAGATGACCACTTTTCTCCTTGAAAATGGGTGGTCATCTTGGACAGGTTCGACTGTCCTTTAAAATGTGTGTAAAATTTGTTAGTTGGTTCTTGAAAGAATTATTGTCAGGTACCTGTCTAGAAGAAAAGTGCAACAAAATGTTTGACAAGTCTTTCGTCAACTTGGGGAATTAATCCGTGGCTTCATTGGATTGTGCTTCTAAGAATGTCGTTTTAATGACTATTTGGTTTATATTCATGAAAATGAAAATCGTGGCTGTTTTGAGTGATATATGTGCTTAACTCGTTGAAGGCGCAAGTTTTTCACCTAGAATTTCCCTGGAAACGCACGATTTTTACCTAGTTAAAAAAAAATCAATGTGATAAACCTATCAACTGTACAGTTATAAAATTGGACACAAAGTAAGATCATCATGTATAATCACATAAAATGTGAAAAAGCACATTATACGTAAATGTGAAAAAAACCTCTTTTTATGAGCTAAGCACATGGATGGCAGAATTGACTGTAGTCAAATAGGATGGTTTCAATCAAGTAATACAAAGTGATATTATCTATAAGAATAGTGATATTGCCAGGAGCATTGTCGTCTCCTGAATCAATAATCCCGATCCCTTCATTGGTTGTGAAAGGAGCATCCAGCAGCTCTCTGTTTCTTGTTCATGTAAAAAGTAGGTCAGGTCTGTGTGTTTGGCAGATTGCTGATAGGAGACAATTCGGATGATCAATGGTCAAAGGGATACAACCACAATAAAATTAAATGTTTTAACTAACACTGGGAGTCATTCCCCTTGAGATTCTATTAGTTTTGAGGTATTAAAATAAAATTTGCAGGCGCGTCTTCATCGTTTGTTGACCTTGCCGGGTCCCCGACGTCTTCAATGAGTTAATGTTTCACAACCATTGTGCTGTGATTATGAACCTTTCTTGTCATAGAGACCCTCTTGATTGAAACTTTACCTTAGTGTTACTTCATTTAGCTTTATCCAGCTGATTGTACTGCTAACTGACAGGAGTAATAATTCTAATATTTAGTTTAGAACATGGTTTTTGTCATATTCTATATTATTTTTGTCTTGCTCGCATTTTTGCTAATTGGAGAATAGCAATAGCGGTTTGGTCCTTTGATTCGACCTTCTATTTCTATCTGCAGATCTGGGTTTTCTCCATTTCTGTCCACAACCATAATTATTGCCATGTGCTTCTCATTTGTCATAATCATCATTCGCCTTTTTTCACCCTGGTATTGAGTATAGGCTGCCAAGAAGGGCTCTCCACCTGTCTCTGTTCTGGACAATATTCTCCACCTCCAGCCAGCTGTGTCCCATATCACTACCTCAGACTGACAAAGTTCTGTCTGCCCAATACCTAGTTTTGAAAAATTTGATGTAAAAGATTTTGAGTTTCAGATCATGTCAAACTCTTTCTAATGCAATTCTTTGAATATCTTGATAACGATTCTGAATAATGTTATGATTTTGATAGAGCAGGTAGAACATTTGGTCTATGGTCTTTATAGTAATTTATAAAAAACAAACAGTCTAAAATATGAGATAGAACTTGGTAATTCTGAGGTAGGGATTTGCCTGAGATCAGACAGCCTGTTGTTCCCGCCTCTGATGGATCTTAGCCTTCTTCTCTTTCTTCTCTCCTGGGGGGGGAGGGGGGGGGGCGGCTCCATCTTAGTCTTCTCATTACGTATCACTAACATACTTTGCTGATGTTGAGACTATTATAACGTTCTGTTTCTGTGAACAGAACTCGGCGAGCTGAAGGAACTGATCGCTGAGGCAGAGGACAAGAAGTTCCCAGAGTCTGACCTACTACAGACCCTGGTGAGTGCCGTGACGGAGGCAGAGAAGTGCTCCAGTGTGGCCGCTCAGCTGGTCAGCAAGAAAGTCAGAACCAGGTAATGCAACTTGAATTCCTTATTTGTTGGAATTGGTGGTTTGGGGTACCATGATTTTGATGAATATGAATTTTAGATTAGGAAGTGCTAAACTCGATGGGGTTCTTTTGGGGTACCATGATTTTGAAAAATATGAATTTTAGATTAGTAAGTGCTAAACTCGATGGGGTTCTTTTTGGTTAAAAGAAGTGGAAACTAACTTTGATCTAATGATGTCACATTAGTTAGGAATAAAATAAATCTGAAATTATTTATTTTGACTGATTAGTGTAAGACTCCAGTTTGAAAAGTGATGTATATTGAGTATTACACGGAGCAGTCGATTTGATGCATGTGTTTCTTTCTGTATGGAAGGAATAGCAGTATTTGATTTGCAATATGATGTTTTGTTACAGGAATCGACAGTCCATTGAGGGCAAATATGTCGCAAAGTTGACTCTGGAGGAACTGAACTGCTTCTATGAACAAGTCATCGGACTTCCCTGTGTTATCAAAGAAACCAAGTCAATCAAAGTGAGTACACATGTTCTGTTTAACATATACTTCTGGGAAAACATTTTAGTGTTTACACATTTGTGTAAAAATCGTGGCAATTTTGTTAAAATGGCAACACATTTTGAAATTCATCTTTATGATTCCAGTATGCAAGTGAAATTCCAATTTTATTTTTTATGGATCTCTCTAGGGATGTTCAGTTTACAGTACATACAAACTTAAATTCAAAATCTCATGCATACTGGAATTCATAAAAATTACATTATATATGCTCAGTGTCGTGCCAATGCAGACAATCAACACACCCTTGCTGGTTGCCACTGTGCAGCTTCCTGTATTTGTGCTGGGGTTATTGTGTCTTGCTCAAGTATACACCCAAGTGACCACCCACCAGAACGTTGTGTCACGGACGTATGCTTGACATTGTGAGCCAGAACTCACTACCACTTGGAAGTTTGTGGGGTCGTTTCCTTAGAATTACAAAATTATATTTGACATGTTTGGCAGTTTTGATTTAAGAAGACCATGAGGCCAGAAACCAAATTTTCAATTTGCTCTTTCAAAATCATAAGATTATATGGAGTCGTTATCATGATATTCAAAGTAAAGCGTAAGGAAAAGCTTGACATGTTGTGAAACTCAAAATTGTTTACGTCAAATTTCTCAAAACTAGGCTCTGAGCAGATAGAACTTTGTAAATCTTGGATAATGAGGTGTTTACATTTCCTATTGCTTAAACTCCTGCTTGTTCTACATGGGTCTCTGTATTCTGCTATTTAGCGGATTTCCGCTTCCGCCATTTCCTCCGCTAAACTCCTCTACCGCTACACTTTTACTTGAAATTATCCTAGCATTCTCGACTTAAACAGTATAATAATAATAATAATAATAATAATGGGTGTCTCCCTAAATGGTCTTCTGTCGCGATCTCGAGGAAAGTTTCTCCTTTTTTTAAAATTCTGAGTTGAGACCCATGGTTCTAGTTGTCTTACTAGATATAGCCAGCTGGCTGTCTGGCCGAGGGTGTCATCTCTGCCTTGGGGGCCTTCGAAGTTGACCTGCAATGATCTGCCGTTCAATTCACTGGTGATGCACTGATCATGCTGTCAATGACTTTAATTATGTCCATCCATATTAGTCTCTGCATTTCTGCTGCCCTCCTCCTTTCTGTATGTAGGTGGTTGCTACAATGCCACAGAATGAAGGTTGGTGGTTGGGGGGTGCTGAGGTGTGGTTTGCTCCTTTTTTCCTATCAAACATCTGTCATCCTTATCTCCCCTTTTCTATTTTGTTACTCCCTTTTAATGCCTCTAAGCTTTCGCACATATATGACTTAATTGTGTTGCAAGTGCAGTAAAAGCCTTACTAAAACAACAAATAGTAAATATTCTGAATGTTTATGTTTCAGGAACTGCTAACCCGAGTGCTGGATTTCCGTGTGGAGGCACAAGAAGCTCTGGAGGCAGAGACACCTGACTCTGAGCAAGTGGAGGCTCTTATAGAGTTTGGCATTGGCTTGGATGTCGACCTCCCAGAGATCCCTAAACTGAAACAGGTGATTGCTCTCTCATCTCTGGTGGGAGGTAATGTAATAAACTTTCTCTGTGCCTGAAGTACTGAAATATGAATGCATGTGTGAGCTCAGGATCCATTTTTATTCTGCGGCTGTGTTTTGACTTCTGTGTGGTGTTTTTGACTCTCAAAAACTTTTCTTCGATTAAATTGCAAACAACACATGGAGTTGTACTTTTTGTAAAATTTGATTGTGCAGATGTTCCATGGGTACTATGGAAGGGTCTCCCTCTACCTCTTTACTCTGAGCACTGCTGTCATCTTTGTCAGCTTCGTGACACTTACTTAATAACCTTCATCATCATCATCATCATCTTTTTTCATTCAATGAATGAATTGTCGTTAATTGCCCAGGTGTTCAGTCTATTTATGAACCTTAAAATCTTATAAATTGTAAAAAATCAAAATTTTAATTTAGAAGAAGTTGCTGTTCTGTCAAAGACTTTCTTTTGTTGTTACTGAAACATCCCTTGTTGATGTTTTCACCTGTAGGTTCTGCAACAAGCCAGGTGGCTGGACGAGGTACGCAGTTCCATGCGAGAACCGAACTCGGTGACTCTAGACACTATGCGCAAGCTGATAGAGTCCGGTGTCAGTCTGGCACCACATCCAGCTGTAGAAAAGGCCATGGCTGAGCTACAAGAGCTACTGACTGTCAGCGAGAGGTGGGAGGAGAAGGCTCGCATCTGCCTGCAGGCCAGGTCAGTGTCTCTCTGGAGATCTTGTTAATTAATGTTTCTGTTTTATGGAGCTGAGGAATGAATGATTGAAGGGACGCGACTTGCAGATCCCAGTTCCTTACTTTCTATTGTTTGTCTGTTTTGTTTTTTACTGGCACTAGCGTTTGTTTTTTGTTGTTATATTTATACCTCTTCTTTTGAATTAACAAACATGGGTGCATTTGACATGATTTGAACAATGGTGTGAAATTATGTGCAAGATGTGGTTGTGTCGTACATTCCCTTTTGTTGCGTTTTTGTGCCAGGGATTCCTTATGTAGCAATGCCAATCGGGCTTTCCCGCGCGGTGAAAATTTGGTCCCGGTTTGCGGGCGACTTTGCGGACCTGGCCGAAGCGTAGGTGACTAACTTTGTCAACCTCGGTCTGCTCTATTTCTGAACCAATCTGAATGAAACTCGGCTACCAATCAGAAAATTGGACGTTGAAGTTTGTACACATAAATTAACCTATACTTTTGGTGTCGGGAACACTTTCGTATCGTGTACACTGAAAACTATAAGGAGTTTGAATTTCAACGCCGAGATGGTAATAGATCTATCTATCCTCTATAGTGTGCTCAAATTTGATTGTTCTGTGTCAAGTAGTTGTATAGATCCGATCATAAATGCACGACTACCCCCCTATCCAAAGCGGCTTCGCACGGAGACCGGCCATTTTCCCCTCACTCTGGTGGCAAGTGTATGTGACCTACAAATCCCCGCATGACTATTCCAGGCCCGTTCATTGGTCACTTGAAATAGGGCAATGGCGGGCGCACGCATCCGGTTGTTTTTCTCTCTATTCCCCTGTAACATCGCAATGGGGGTATTCCGAGGCGAGGTTATCTCGTCTCAGGGTGTTCGCGCCTCAACGGGGAAAAAGAATTTTTAATTGTACGGCATGCTAGATTGAATTAACTTATTTTTTACGGGTGGCATGGTCTAAAGTCATAAAAAACTTTGCAATTATTTATTCACGCTGCCGTAATATATTTTTAAAGATCCCATGTTGTGATACGATGCTATAGATAAAATGGACTCATCCCGACACCCCTTTTTTGCAAAATCGTAATATGTACACCAAAAAACTACGAAATGAGTAGTAATTCTGACTGCAGAAATGATTTCTACACCCAAAAACACATCGGGTAGCCAAGTTTCTCTCTGACACTCTGATTAGTTACAGAGATATTGTCGATTTTCTTACAGAATCTGCTACTGCGTGGTCCACTTTTTAGGAGTATTTTCCTATATGTGGGTCATCTATATTTTGCCGACCTTTACAACCCCATAACTTTTTTTATTTATGAACCGATTCTTAAAATTCAAGAAGCATAATTCTTAGAATTTAAAATTCTTTCTTAGGTACCAAATAAAAAAGGGCTAAACTGAAAATTTTAATTTTCATTGGCATTGCTACCTTATGTAAATTATAGTTTTCTTGTAGGATTTACAAAAACATTGTAGAAAGGTTTAGCAATCATAAAGCAAGAGGAACGAGCCATACTAAATATATATATACACAAAAGAACGTACTACTCGTTGGAGAGGTAGACAGTGACTGGCGATTATTTGCAGAGGAACGGACCTTGGACACAGCACAGCTACATGGCACACTGAGCGACACTCACAAAGATTGTGACAAATGAGACAAGTGAACAGAGACGTAACAAGAAATATCAATACAGAAACATGTAGGGTCACATTTCAATCTGAAATTTGGGAGGGAGTTTGATTTCAGTACAGAAGCATGATACTGATTATAATCTTAGTGTTTATTTTTTGGACTTTGGCCTCTTTTTTTGAGGTAGTTTCTGTGGTTTTGACCATCTTGTACTGTGATCTCTGAGTTTCTCCTTTTTTTTACTTCAGACCCCGCCACCTGTTGACCACCCTGGAAGCCATCATTGCTGAGGCTCGCAACATTCCCGCTTTCTTGCCCAACATTGCCTCTCTGAGGGAAGCGGTGAAGAAGGCTAAAGAGTGGATACAGAAGGTATATAGTTGCCTATTTATTGTTGCTCCATTATTTCCCTGCACATCTTCAGGAAGTTCAAAAATAAAGAAAATCATCTCAGAAAAAATGGAGCCAAACCTTATAGTGCACAGTGAATTTTTTTAATCATAGAAAGCAAGAATTTTTTTACCCTCATTTTTTCCCTGATATGCAATTGAACGTGTGAGTGCTAATACATTCCTTTTATGTGGTTATGTGCAGTCTGGCTATTTTTGGCTTTACATGTTTGTAAGTGCGTAAACTCTTGTGGATCTAAATATATGTATCTGCTTATGTAGACATATTTAAAATGTATCATGCCAGAGGGCTGGGAGCAAAATCACTCCTGCCACACCCAGTTCCATGCTGAAGGAGACAGCTCTTCTGGCTCAGAATCTGTTGTAAAGCTGATTTTAAGCCTTATCTTTTAGTGTATACGTGTCAGAGACGCAGCAGTACATAAGGATACAGCTTAAATTGTTCAAGGGGGCCACCCATTATTGAGGAGAAGAATGATTGTCTCAGACAGGTGGATGTCTTGGAGACTCTTATAATATTTTTTAAAAAACACTGGGGTAGAAGTGGTTGTTTTGTACAGGTGATTGTCTTGGACAGGTGCCGTGAGAGCAGGTCTGACTGTATTTGTTGTGCTTTAACTGGTTTTTATCGATAACCGTTTGTTTGACGGGATGTTTTTGCCTTCCAGGTGGAGAGCATTCAGAGTGTGGAGCAGTACGCTTACCTAGAGGTGCTGGAGGGCCTTGTGGCCAAAGGGCGACCTGTCCCTGTCAGGCTGGACCAGTTGCCCCAGCTGGAGTCACAGGTGGCAGCTGCCAAGTCATGGAAGGAGAGGACGGCACGCACCTTCCTCAAGAAAAATTCTTCCTTCACGTTATTGGAGGTAAGAGAAACAGTCCACAGAAAGAAAAAAAATACAGTTGAAATTGTGTAAGACGGCCACCCATTGTCAAGGAGAAAAGGGGCCATTTTGATAGGTGGATGTCTTACGTAGTGTCGTTGTAATGTAAAGAAAAAAATACAAGGGGGAAATGGGAAGTGGCCTTTAGAGTAGGTTCCATTGTATTCCTTTTGAGCATCTGCTCGTCTTTTTAACCCTCTCAACATTTGTTCAAGCAAATGAGTGTGTAGAGTGGGAGTATTCCAGCTACGTTGTTTGCCAGGCCTGGGAGTAGGTTGGGTGGCCAGTGTGCCTAGGAGGAACAGTATTACATCATGGTATCACGACTTGCACAACAAGGACACGTTTTTGTTTGTTACCACTATTTAAGCAGCTGGTCATGGCTGAAAAGCAGTTAGCTTTCCAGTCTTAGGGAAAGATGAGGTACTGCTTGAAAACCTGAGTGTGATTACTGGTATTTTGAAGGATGTTTTATTTTTGTTGTATATGCCCAATTTGCTATCAGTTTTGTGAGCATGCAATTGGGAGCTGATGAAATGATGGATGTGGTTTGTCATTTTTTCAAATTTGTTTGATAGTCTTTTTTTATGCTTATTATAAGGAGAACTGTACATAATTGACAAATTGTTATCTAATGTTAGACATTTTTTTTTTCAAGTTTATCATGTCCTTAACTGTTTCTAATACTGAATTTATTGATCTCCCTCAGATTTTGTCTCCTAGGACAGACATCGGTATCTACAATGGTGGTCGCTGCAAGAAAAAACGTTTGAAGGATGGAGACAAGAAGGAAGGGGATGGGGTTACAGATTATGCTAGCGATGACAGCAGAAATTCTGGTGTGGTAAGTTGCTGCTACAATTTATTAATGATAAATACCTTTTTTGGGGTCAAATTCTAGCTTGAGTAAAGTTGGTTTTCTGAAATTGCTAGTTCTGTTTCGTCAGTGAGACTAGTTGAAAAGGCCAGAGGAAGTCTGAATAGTGCTTTGTCTCTCGGAAATTATTCAGCTGTTGTGTAATTAATTCATAATGCCTTGAGAGTCTTTGATCTTAACTATATCTATGTGTAATTACCTTCTCAAATGGCTAAAGTTCTTTTAAGTTCATTAAGACATTCCATGCCAGAAAATGTCTTAATGACTGCTGTTTGTACTATGTCATATTCTGCTGGTTTGGGGGATTTATATCCTATATATTAAATGTGTACAGGTTTTTTTTTAGAGTCTAAGCATTGCTTTGCATTGGGTACACTTTTCAGTCCATCCTGACCCAGGTGGCAGCGTTCAAGATCGGGGAGGAGAAAGAGGTGGAGCTGATGCGTGACCTGCGCACACGCAACATGGAGAAACGACATGACAGTGACGCAAAGTTTTGTGTGTGCCGCAAGCCAGTGGCCGGCTTCATGCTGCAGTGTGAGCTCTGCAAGGACTGGTTCCACAGTGAGTAGAACAAGGATCAAGTTGATTGAGTTTTGGACTTCACACAGTTTGGGAAAATCTGTCCTTAAAGAGATTTCTTGGTTGGGGGGCATCTTTTATGGTTGACGAGTGAATTCTGGATAAACAAAATGTCTCTGAAATATTGGACGCATCAGGTTTAAATGATATTGTTCACATATTAACTTCCTTGTGAATGGAGATTTTTTTTCTATGGATTAAAATTCTGCTAGTTTTTGAAAATATATCACATAGCTTTTTTGGGATGTGTTTTAGAGAGTGGTGGGAATTCTGTAGTTTTATCCTTTTTAAGAATGATTTTTTTCGCTTTTTGTTCTGTAAATGATGGGTTTATGCCGTGACAAAGAAAAGGATTGGACCTGTCATGCTTTAATCACTTTTGCACCTAGTTTCACCTTTTTCTAGGAAATGGGAACCATTAGCTGTTTACAAAAAAGTAAAAAAAAAAAGCAAAACTGTTGTATATCTGACAAGATTAACCAGTGCTGTGTGTGTGTCTGTGTGGTCCATCAGGTACCTGTGTCTCCTTCCCTAAGTCAGCCAGCATCAAGAACAAGACCTCACAGGCAGCCATCATGCAAGTAAGTGGGTTGTTTTAAATTTATTTTACTGGAAGGACATGAGGCTTTGACTTGTCAACATTGTGATGTAGCAGGGTAATGAATGAATATTTTGCTGTGGATACTGGATCATTATGTGCTGACCAGCATGTAAAAACCATATTTAGTACGATGCCCATTATCTGGATGAGCCAAGTTATTTTTGGTTTTGAAAGTTTGGCAGCTATGCAGGAGCAAATTCTAGTGGTTTTATAATGGCCCTGTGTGGACAAATGTGAGGAATGCTGACAAAATGAGATACTTCTCGCAATCCACAAATGGAGGTATTGGCAAAAAATTGACACGAGGGCCAAATTTGTAGAATTTCTATTGATGCGATATTCTTTAACTATAACATGCCTTTTATTATTTTATACTTTTAAATTGTTAAAACTTCACCTGTAAGCGTGATGTATCGATTTCCATAAGGCTTGAATCTGAGAAGTAACTCATGTTGTCTGCACACGTCACAAATGTTCACTTTTTGCAGGGAACAGCTGACTGATTTTTCTTTTCATGCAAGATCGTTGTTGTGACTTTCTCTCCCCAGAAAATTTTTTCTGTGATGATTCTGGCTTCAGTGTAGGGATAACTTTTTGTTCCTTTAGCTGACATAAATTGTTATAGCATTAGACCCTCATCAATTAAAACATTTTAAATTTTATTTTTGGGATATATACAGGCTCCCCAACTGTCCCTATTTCTTGGGTCTGTCCTGGTTTCAGCAATTGGGAATCAGAGAGCCTTATCATATATATACTATACCAAAAACCAGTCCTACTTGATTCAATTTTGTTCCTTGCTACGTAATCTGATGTTTTACGCTGGGTGTCCTTGACTGGGTTTTGAAAAAGTTAACAAGCCTGTGAATATGTAAAGCATGTAGCGCCACCCAATAGGATGACTTTGTTATTTATGTTGATGGTTATATATTCGTTTCTCCATGTGCACCACCAGGCCACCAAAGAGATGAAGTTCCTGTGCCCGTTATGCCTGCGCTCCCGGCGGCCGCGTTTGGAGACCATACTGTCACTGCTGGTGTCTTTGCAGAAGTTGCCGGTGCGCATGGTGGAGGGGGAGGCTTTACAGTGTCTCACCGAGCGGGCCATGGCCTGGCAGGTAGGTTGTGGTTGTTGGCTTACCATGTGATATGTTTTTGGTTAGACTGGAGCGGTTTTGTGTGGGGTTTTTTTCATAATGGTGACTCCTCATGTTTTTTTTTATAGAGAGGTCAAAATGATCTGAAATGAGTTTATGTGTGTGTGTGTGGGGGGGGGGGGTTGTCATTTTGGGTGTTTAGATTAAAAGTTAATGCCTCCTTTTCCCATTTTGAGGCTCTAGTCACAAATTCTATTTCAACTTGGTTCTGACACTTTGTACCTTTTTTGTAAGATTCAAAACACTTTTGCCCTTACAGAAAGTTGACATGATAAGCTCATAAGTTATGAAGAGGTGTACGAATTTTATATTGAAAGTGCATTTAAATTGTGTGTTGAAAGGACTGTTAAAATCCAATTGAAATCCCGTAAAGTACTGAGCTGATTTGTATTCCCCCCTCCCCCCTGTTGTGTGGCAGGATCGTGCTCGGCAAGTCCTGACCACCACGGAGATGGCTTCGGCGATGGCCCAACTAAGCGTGATGAGTCAGCGCATGGTGGAGGCGGCTGCGCGCGAGAAGACAGAGAAGATCATCCATGCCGAGCTGCAGAAGGCGGCCAACAACCCCGAGCTGCAGCCACACCTGGCCTCGGTCACTCAAAGCGCTTTTGGAAACCGTGGCGACTCGATGCCGGGGGAACATATAGACATGATGACCAACGGAGATGCTGGGCATGTCGGTCACGCTAGCAACGGTCTAGCCGTCCTCACGAGCGCAGCCAAACAGCAGCTGTTGGGGGGAAGGAACTCGGACGGGCATGGCGTTATGAACGGGAAAGACTTTGATTCCTCGAAAGAGGCTAGTGTCGGTGTGAACATGGATGACCCACTGTCTCCCAACGGCGGGGATTTGTCTCCACTCCCTCAACCGTTAGTCCCCGCGCCCAACCCCATGTCGCAGGACATCGGAGCCGAGATTGATATCCCATCAGCTACTTCTCTAGGCATGTCGTCGGAGCATGCTTACTCCTCTGTCTCCAAGGGAATGTCCAGTGAGTATTTGATTGTGAATAATGATGGGAGTGAATTTTAGGGGATTTTTTAATGATTTAATGAATGGATGAACTTGCTGACTTTTGTTGTTGAAAGAATGAATGTTGGGGTGTTGGTTTTTTTTTTTTTGGGGGGGGGGGGGGGTTGTGTGTGTGTGATTTTGGATGTCTTAGAAAAACATTACCAGTTACCCGGCAAGTGTTCTTCTAAGAAAAGAGTCTGAATGGTGATGGTGAACGTCCAATGCTTCGTCCGTCCTCTACTTTCCTACTTTGAAGTGTGTGGAGTTCATGGTCCTGGTTACTTCTGTCTTTTTTGTATAAAAGCTTTTAGAGCAAATAAGGGAGTTTCTTTTTCTGAAAAGCGGGTGGTTGGCGGATGCTCTGGTGTGGTTTGCCCCTTCTTTCCTATCAAAGATCTGTCTTACTGATCGCTCCTGCTTCTTTTTTGTGTTTGTTACTCTCTTGTAACACCTTATGTTCGGCCCTTATATGACCTTACTTTGTTGAAAGAGTTGTTAAACTTACTTTTAAAAAAACAACAATGGCTGGTCTTATGCTTGTTCTCAGATTGACACTGGAGACAGAGCAAATGTCAAAGGAAACAGTTAAACAGACAAAAACTTGATGCTACATGATTTCACACCATGTAAAGTAACATATCAACTTAAGTTAAAAACATTGGGGGGGGGGCTGCAATGTGTTCTCAAGGATGAATGAAATCAGGGCATCTTATGCCTATTCTTTTTTCTCTCTACTTCTTACTTAAGTAAATGTTTTTAGTATCCATTTTTGTGTGGGTGTTGGTGTCACATAAAATACAATTAGAACAAAGGCCTCTCTGTGGATGTGGACTGTCTACATGTTGAGTTTGTTGCCACCTCTTGGAGTTACTCAGTGTGAAGCATCTTGCACCCAGTCAAGTCAGTATACCCTGAAACCATGTAAAATGGATTGTCAACACGGGAACCGGATGTTTTAATGGTGAATTTAGAATGTAATCAGCAGTGACTTGACTTTGGTCTGATTAACTTAATTAAGGGATTTGTATCTGTGTTCATTTCTTTTTTTCTTTTTTTTTTTTTTGTCCCTGCTATTGTGTTCATTTCTAGTGTTCAGGGAAGAGCAGGTTTGGGTGGGAGGGGCGGGGGAAGATACTTTTAACCTTGAGTGAAAAACCTTAACTTGACTGGTTGTATGATAAACAGTTCTGAAAATAAAGCGATATTTTATCCAGGTGATGGTGGCTATAGAATTTCACACATGTAGACATTCCACCCGATTGCAAAAAAAAAAAAAAAGGTACACAATCCTATCTTGTTTTATCGTAGTTTTTGGGATTGACTTCTCTCCAGATGGGTCACCCCGCAAGAACCCTCGCAAGTCGCCGTTGATGCCGCGCCAGTGCGACGGGCCGGTGCTAGACGTGGCGGAGACCAAGCGGGCCCAGCTGGAGGAGCTGATGATGGAGGGAGACCTGCTGGAGGTGGCTCTGGACGAGACACAGCACATCTGGAGGATCCTGCAGGCGTGTTACAGCCGCGCCGAGCCCAACCGCTACACGGATATGGAGGTAAGGGTTGTTTTTTTTAGCTCATCACTCTCCAAGAGTTTGAGTTTGAGTAGTGGGTCAGAAATTGGAATTCTTTTGTAACAAACCTGTTTCTTTACGGAACCATCCTTACACTTTTTCCTGATTGGAGTTACTGCTCTCCCTTTTCAATAAACTTGAGAGTATGGAAATTGTGTTCTGTCTTTATTTTGATGTTGTTGCTTTCATGTATGGGGTGGAACTTTAAACGACGTTTTAATATTTTTGGATTTTGTGTGCAAGATTATCATGGCAGTTGTGAAATGAGCTTGACGCTGTGTTTGTTTAGAAATCTTTTTAACTGGCAAATTGAAAGATTGTGTAGATTTTTTTTTGTTTGGTTCAAAATATTCACTCAAATAATCGGTGGTTTACTGTCAATTTGTCAATTTGTTATTGTTATGAACAGATGTGTGTGCGAGTGTGTTCTTTAACTAACAGTCCTAGTGACTGGAACTGTTGTAGTAATTTTCTATGTTGCAAGCACGCCTGTTTCACATGGATGCATTTTTCCTTTGTTTTGTGTTCCCATCTCAGGTGTCTGGCCAAGGTCTGTTTGAACGTGGCCGAGACAAAAAGGAACAAAAGAAAAAGGATGGGGTTCTCAAAACCAAGGAGAAGCTGAAACGTAAGAAGGCAGCTGGGGAGAGGCTCAGTGATGTTGTCATCAAGAGAATCAAAGTGGAAAACGGGATGGAGACCATCATCAAGAAGAAGAAGATGAAGCAGCAGCAGCAGCAGCAACAGCAGAGGAAGAAAGATAACTCCGGGGACAGTAAAGAGGGGGTCAAAGGTGAGATTCTGACACCAGCTTGGGCTTTGAAATGTCTGATCGACTGGTGAATGCATCTAGGTTCTGGTTATTAACCCTCGTCCTGTGGGGGCCAGGTTTGTGTCACCCGATAAGCTTATTTCGGCACCTCGCCTGCGTTCTGGTTCCGAGGCGGTCTAGCCCCTGGCTCAGCGCATGCACACCGCGCATCATCTCACATGAAATTGGGTCGCGAGTCGGATCCCCATTCACGCAGGTCAAGTTTGTGTGCGTCAGTCTGCTTGAGTTTGTGTGTATTTGTGGCCTTCTTCTAGAAGCGCCTGCGTTGGTTTGTAATCGAGGCATACGTCTCATTCAAAACATGCCAAGTTGGTAGCTCTAGATGTTCGTCCAATAAAATTATAGAAGAAATTGACCCACTTAGACCTGAGGAGCTCGAAAGGATAGTCAGGAAACAAGACTTCCATTTTTCTATACAAAATCTTTCAAATGAGCTTGATTTTGTATGAAATGATACTACCTGATAAAAAATAAGCTTTTTTGATAGTTTTGAATACCATTGTGCAGGAACAAAGAACAAAACATTTGGAAATTGACCTACATTAACCCCTTTCGAACCACAGGTCATTCATCACAACAAGGGCATATAGAAAGGTTATTCGAATGGGCGTAACTACCTATGTCTTATCAGCTTGTGAGAGGGGGTTATTCATGTGTTTGTAACACTTTATAAATAGAAAGCTATGAAAGATAGAGCGTTATTTTCATCATCGATTAACACACTCCCGCGGTATTCATGGCGAAAACGCGCTCTGTACACCAACAGTACACACTGAGTGACCCCGGTGGCCTGCCCGGAGCGTCCGACGTAATCGGTTGCTGATAAGATTCGCATCTCAGCTCAGACGCAGGACAAGAGTTGATGTTTATGAAAGGTTGTTTTTTTTTTTCAAATTTGAATTTTATTTTTTTATAAGCAGTGTGACAAAAGGTTTGTGCTCCTTAATAATTCTGTTGGCCGGTCAAATAGTTCCTTTGACTGATATTGTTCTCAAGAGGGATGCAGAATATTACAGCTATTATGCACTTACTGCATTCACTTGTAATAAACATTACAACACAGATACATTTGTGGAATTATTTTTACCCCCTGGGACGGTGGCACCGACTGAAGTGTCTTTAAGCCATTCCCAAAGGGGGGACATATCTCGTTCAAGCATAGTAGAATTGTAAATGGGCTGATTCATGTCACGCTCATAACTGTGCCTGATCTACAACAGGGAACTGCTGCTTTTTCTTTCCTGATCCTTACTATTGTAATTTCCTCTACTTCTTTTGTATGTTTGTCACTCCCTTGTGACCTGCTATTTTGGGGTGCCTTGATAGTCGAAGCAGACCTTGTGCTGTTGAAGCTAGAGAGGTGAGCAGTCTAAGTCTGATTCCCTGTAAAGAGTTCTCTGTTGACACCCACCCCTTGGCGCTCATATGACCGTATGCAGTTGCGAGTGCCGTAAAACCCTCTACTATTTTTTAAAAAATAAAAAATAATTTTATCAGATTTGTTACCTAGCTCTGATGTGGTTTCTTTTTCTGAGAATTATTTACTATCATATGCAAATGAGAACAGAAATCACTCTTTTGTTATCAACAGTCCTCCTCCTCTCCCATCTCACAATATGGATTAGAACTTCTTCTCTTTAGCAAATGATTGCTTTGTCTTTTTCTTCCAAAAGGTAAAGACATATGGTGTCTGGACTCAAAAGCTCGTGGTCCAGGATTCAAATCAGTAGCAGCCGCATTTATTACAAGTTGTATATTTCAATGAGTCTGTTATTAGTAAAGTCCTCCCTGACATCTGTCCTCAGGCAAAATAAAAGACACAGACAAGACCACAGAGGGAGGGGCTGGGGCAGATGTCAAGCCCAAACTGAAGAAGAAGAAAAAGGTTCAAGGTCAGACGCCAGCAGCTGCAGCAACGACAACGGCCAAGACACCAGAGGTGGGGAAACAGAAGGAGAAACGGCCCAAAGTGAAGCGGGAAAGGAAGGTGAAGGAGGAGAAGGTGGCCATGGACGAGAGTGATGATAATGACGAGGATTGCTCGGCCCCAAAGTGTCTACGACCCACGGGTGAGTGAATGACCTGGATTTGGGAAGTAATGTAGAGATGTAAATATTCCAGATTTTCTCTGATTTTGGATTTTGTACCCTTCCTATCGTGAAAGAAATGAAACCAACAATGAAAGACGATAGAAGACAGGAAATTGGATTTTTTTTTTTAGTGCTCGTGTTAGACCTGCATGTTTGCCGACAATCGTCTGAAATCCGACAATCGCGACGCGACCCGCGAGGCAGCCGATGCTTTCGCTAGGCCCACCTGTATCAGTCAATGTGCGTAGTGCGAGGCCTGGCCGACTGCCAGCGTCCCCCTTTTCTCACGTCGGCTTTGTCGGCACTTTCGTTTTCGTGCCGACCGCCGACGCGCGCACCGCCGACTGCCGACGTCGGCGTTTCCGACATAATTGTCGGAACCTGAGTAGAAATGCGAATACGAAAAAAGACGACGACCTAAATTATCTACTTTCAGTTTCGTGCTCGAGCGGCCATTTTGAATTTCGTTTTGTTGACAAATTCAATTGTTCAGATCGTGTGGATTCATTCCAGTCCGACTCACTTAGATAATAGAATCTAGATCTAGATAGATCTAGATTTATATAGATCATTATAGACCTCAATGGAGAATTCATATTCCAATTCTATTTTGTCAAACCCTATCAAAGGTTGTGCTGTAATATTAATGTTGGTAAAAGGCATTTCATCAGGTGCGTGAATTATTTATTTATTTAGAATCTAGACTCTAGACTCAGCTGAGCCCCTCTGTTCGGAATCGGATGCGGATTTCTAGTTCAAGGCCTATTCCTAGATCCTATTCACTTGTTCTTCTTGATCTAGATCTAGATCTAGATTTATTTAGTTTACTAGATCTAGATGTATATGGAGGATTCTTATTCCAATTCTATTGTGTTATTTGATATCAAACCCTATTATTGTAGATCTAGCAATATGTAGATGTAGGCCATTATATTATGCTCCTTGTAAGCCTTGTTTGTTTTGGGGTGTGGTTTTTTAATTTTAAAAATGTTTTTCATTTTGGACTTGTGCTGGCCTTTTCACATGAGGCTCGTTGCAGGTTCTTTTTTGGGGTAGGCCAAGGGGTAGGGGTAGGGTTAGGTCTCTTCTTTGTTGTGTTTGTTGGGGTGGTCGCTCGTTACTCGGAAGTCCTTCCTTATGACACCCACAAAAGCTCTTTTTTTTTGGGGGGGGGGTGCGCAAAATTTTCAGACAATCTGGTTGAGCCTCCCATGCAGGTCTATCGTGTACATCCGAATTTTTGGGGGTGAGCAAGTCTGGTCTTTTTCCAGTAGTCTTCTCAGCTTGTGTTCAGTTTTTTTTGTTCGTTTTGTAATATCAGTATATTTTCCGGGATACAGCCCAGTAAGCAAACTTGAATAAATTGTACTTGCATGGCTGTGGTGGGTCAAGGGATGAATTGGTTGGATTTTCTGTTTTGCCAAAATTTTTACTTTTTGTGGTGTAAGATACCCTTAAGTACATTTTGTGGTGTAAGATACCCTTAAGTACATAGCACAAGTAAATACACTATTCTTCTTGCAGATCTAATCAAGTTTTGTTTGTTTGGAAGTGAAAGCTGTAAAAATGGAACTGTTGGTGCTAGTATTGAATCAACACCATGTTTTATGCCTCTCATTGAGACACATTTGGATGCTGAACCGGAGGGCCACACTAAAAAGTCCTTTTTTTCCTACTCTTGTTTATGCCTATTGTCTTTTATTTCCTCCCCAATGCTGTATTTTGATCTTAAGTTTTTAGTTGATGTGTTCTCTGAAGACACACTTAGATAACACCTTCAGTATGAATTGGTAAAGTGGTGGAAAGGGTGGGGGGGGGGTGTGGTGTGTAAATGGCATCTCTACACAAAAGGGGAAAATGTGGCCCCTCTGATGATGTGATTAATCACTTCACAATCTGTGTTGAGGTGTGCAGGAGTGATGTCTCCTTGGTGCTTCCTCTGTCTTCTCCCTCTGTGTTCTTTTGAGTGGGTGGTTGGTGGGCACTCTGTCCTAACATCCTTATCTCTCCTCCTTCTTTTCTTGGTATGTTACTCTCTAGTAGCACTTCTAATCTTTTGGCGCTCATATGACCTATTTCTTTTGCTAGTGCCGTAAAACTCTTGCTAAAACTTTTTTCTATTGCCCTTACTTGTTTGTCTCTAGTTGGGCTTTTTTGCTAAGACGAGTTCCGACTCGAACAGCCGATGAGACACGTAGCTCATGTTGTTACATTGTTTCTGCTACCTGCTCTGAGGCAGTCTGATGCTTTCCCGATTTACTTGTAGGACTATTTTTAGTTTTTTTTCTGTAATGAACTAAGATCCAGTGGCTCTAGACTAATTTCAACACCTCGTGTGTCACTGAAGAAATATGGTGAGAAAGCTTTTTCTTTTTCTGGGCCAACAGTTTGGAACACTCTCCCTCATGATTTGAGGAACGAAATAAAACTTGATACCTTCAAAAGGGGACTCAAAACACATCTATTTAAGAAATATTTTAATTAATGGACAGTACCTTTGCCTTTTTGTATGAGCATTTTTTTCTTGCCGGAAAGAATGTTGCTGTCAAAAAGTGCGCACATGATGGATTTGTATGGTGTTAGTATGAATGCGTTTTTAATCTCCTATGTACGCCTTGGACCCATGCTGTGGGGAAAGGCGGGATACAAATGCTCTTATTATTATTATTATGTTTCTCGGATGAATCAGTTTCCTGTTCTTCCTTTAAAAATATCTATATTATGCCTAGAAGAGCATCATAATGACCTGTATGATGTGGTGATCACAAAGATACATTGGCTGATTTAGGACACTTAACTGCAAACCTAATTGATATTCAGAAGTTCAAAGTTTAAGTCTGAGTTAGACGGAAATTTTCTTCTCTGACTTTTCCTCTTAAATTGATGTCCTGTCAAGGGAAGAAATGTGTGTGTGCCTAGAGAAAGGTGCCAAAAGTCACAACATACCATTTGGAGCTACAGGCTGATAATCACAAAAATCACCTTTTTGACCAAAAAGCATTTCCATAAGAAAATGATAGATGCACAATTTTTTTTACAATGTGCTCAGAGGGTCTTCATTGATTTGACTTCTAAATATTTTATTTTGAATAATTTTGAGGGTAGGATATAATAAAAACAAATAATGAAAACTGCTTTTAAAAAGTGTTAAAATCTATTCTTGAAGCACGTTTTCTCTTCCCTGCTATGTTTTACCATTGAATTCCATTCGTGATATTGATGTCAACTGAATGCCAAATTGGAAATGAATTTTCCATGAATAAATTCATTTAAAAAATCGTATTTTTAAAGTTTGTATGTGCTCTTACGTTTGTTAAACTTAAAAGCTAATTTTCTCAAAATTATATTTTTATACCCTTCCTAGTAAAATGTGCAATATCTCAAAAACTACTTGAGATATCTAAACAATTCAAAGACCCCAGTATTCAACATTGAATTTCCTATAAGGTACAACCCTTAACAAAATCCGACTTTTAGTACCTTTCTTTAGGTACACACACAAATGCTCCGCTTTTAAAAGATTTTATCGATTAGGTTTCTTTGAAAATAAAATCCCACCAAAAACACACTAACTGTTTGGATGTTTTCCCACAGGTGAGGAGGTGAACTGGGTGCAGTGTGACGGGTGTCTCAAGTGGTTCCACCTGTTGTGTGAAGGAATCAAAAAGAACGAGGTGTCTGAGGACAAGGAGTACGCTTGCTCCAAATGTAAGGGCGGGAAGCAGAAGGCAGGAGAAGAAGCTTCGCCCAGCAAACCGGACGGGGCTTCTTCCGAACCGGACTTTGACTTGGACAAAGTGAAAGCGGAGCCCAAAGAGGGTCTAGTGGAGAGCCCACCCTGCTCCCCCAGCGTGCGTGCGGCCGCCGACAAAGCCATCTCGGATGTGGTGGAAGCCGTGGCAGCCTCCTCCAAGGAGCGCAGGCTGGAGGCGGAGAAGAGGGTGGAGGCTGTGGAGTCGATGATGCAGCTGGAGCGGGGAGTGCCCCCGCCGCCCAAGCCTGTGTCTCCGCTGGTGAGTGGCAGCGAAGTTGTGGTGGAAGGGGAGGTTACCACCACTATGAGTCCTGCGGCTGCTGCTGCTGTCAGTGCTGCGAGTAGTTCTAGGGTGGCTGCTGATCCTGCGGGAAGTGGTAATGAGAATGAGGGACAGGCAAAGAAAGATGATATTGATGATGATGATGCGGTGATTGTGTCGTGTGCTAGGAGTGAAGATGTGGCCATGGAGGTTGATGTCAACGAAGTGGAGGAAGAAAAGGAAACAGGAGTGGACAAGCCAGTGCTTGGAGATGGGGAGGAAGAAGAGGAAGAGGAGGAAGACTATGAGGATGGGGAGGAGGTTGAGGAAGAAGAGGAAGAGGAGGAAGATGAAGAGGTGGAGGAGGAGGAAGAAGACATTACTATGGAGGAGGAAGAAGAGGAAGAGGAGGAGGAAGATGACGAGAAGACAGACACTGGTGCAGAAGGTGATACAACCAACACTGCGGACGAGAGTAATGACATTGCCGGTGATTCTGATCTGGATGAAATCAGTTTGGACAAAGACATGGGCTCTCTGGAGGAAGCAGAGCGCCAGTGTGCTCAGGTTCTGGGTGCGCTTAAATCTGGGGACCTGTCTGCTGTTGCAGCAGCTGTGCCACTTCCTGGGTTGCCTGTGATGTCGTCGTCATCGTCATCACCGAGTGTTGCTGTGTCTGGGGGTGAGGTCAAGAGTACTGCTGTCCCTGACAGCTCCTGACATTTCCTGTACTCTAAATGACCTTGTCGCGGTGTGTAGAGTGTGGTGTGTGGTGTGACCGTAATGTGTCGACTTTGGCTGTGTGTTCGATAAGGATGATTATGACAAACAGACACACGTGGAGCAGGATGGAGTTTAGTGCCCTGTGTCTCCTCCTCCTTACCTCCTTCCCTCCCTCCATCCCTCCCTCCATCCCTCCATCCATTCATTTTACATATGCTGTACAATTTGATTTGACTGTGTATTAGATCTTTTAGCTTGTGGGTTTTCTTTGTCCCTCATTTTAATCTTCTGATGCAATGAATTTGTGTTACTGAAAGACATGTTCACAATTTTGTCTGAATTGTTTACAGACTTCTTTAGATTTTTTTTCTTCTTTTGCATTTTTCTGTTCATATGATCTATGTAATCTCAGAAACCATGATGTGAGGATCATGATTTGGCAAATGTGGTTTTTGTGTATCGAGATGAACATAATTTGTAATTTGAGCAAATGATGTGAAAGTGTTCGTGGCATGGATGATTTGCTGAAGGTTTTGGAAGTAATGGGATGGTTGCTTTGCTGCTAGCCGAAACAAGTTGAGCTTTCGTCAAGACGTTAGTGTTTTGAGATTGGAGATTTGTACATGTAGGTCTGTTGTGTTTTCTGCTGTTTTAGGAATGAGCTGCTCTGTGAAGTGGTATTTATTTTGGAAATGTTTGTATGGCTTGTATTTGCTAACAGCATAGCACTGTCTTTTCTTTCTTTTTTGTTCTACGTTGCTGCATTGAAATGTTGTGCATACTGCCTCTGAGGCGATTTGGAATCTTTTTTTTTTTCTCTGTTGCAATGCAGAAAATTTCAAAGCTTTCATGGGGATTTTAATGATGTTGAAATATTTAGGCCTTCAGGGATTTGTTGGTCAACAAATTCAGTTGGATGTGAGTCTATGTATACCTGTGGCTGCCTTTGAGAAACTGGATTCACGTGATTGATAAAAGTCCATTTTATGATTGCACATAATCTAGATTTTAAAATGTACCAGATGTCAAATGTTCTGAGCCTTTGTTCATTTCTGACTGCTGTTTTTTTTTTTTTTAAACTCCCTTTTGTAAAGCCCAGTTGTTTGCATTTGCTTGAATTCTTGAAGTTAAAAACTCAGACTACAGATGGCGCCCTTCCCATGTCCTGTGTGGATGTCTGGTCACAACACTGAGGGTATGTCCTGCGGTCTCCGATTCATCTCTTTTTGGTACATGGGATGAGAACTGCTCTTTGAACAGTGGTGTAGAAAATGATCTTTTTCCTCAGATTTTGGATGGGAAAGACCCCGTACCGTCAGCGCTTATGTTACAGCGTGTCAGAAGTTAGGCTTGGGAGCTGTGTATTCATACGGCTTCCTATCATTGATTAAGCTAGAAGATTTTTTACCATTAAAGGAAGGTGTATGGCCGGCTGACAAGGGAGAAGGGGGTGGAGTCACCGTTAATCTTGTGTAGAAGCTGTGAGTCCAGATTACTTGCAAGAGATCCATTTTGACACATTCAAGGTGAAATGTATAGAGTTCTGTTTCAGTCATGGAGGATGTTTTTAAGTAAAACCAGTTGTGTATATTTTGTGCGTTCAACAAACACATAGCCCTTCTGTTCTTTTCCTTCAGGAGTGTGCCCTCTACTGGTGGGGCAGATCTTTACCCTTTTTGTCCTACGAGAGAGAAAGTTCTTTGTTTGGAAGTCTGTACTTCTGAGAGGACTTGTGGTGGTGCTAGAAGGTCAAAGACTTGCTTACTTCAATGTACTGTGAAATATTGGGCACAATGGTGGTGTCAGGCACACTGTGGCTTTATGTTAAGATTTTCCCGCAGTGTTTTAGCGACATATCACAGATCCTGAGGCTTGATGTGATTGGAATAACCTGATTTTACCTGAGAAGCTAAAGAAGAGTCACAATAGCTCCTCAGATTAATTGAAGGTCTGCGACAGAATTGAGATGCTCTCATTTCCATTCTGTTTCATTTGTCAGAATGAGTATTTTTGAACTTGTCTGTTGTGTGCCTGACACCATCAGCCTGATTTGGTTTTTGGATGATGACAGTAGGTGGATGCCCTTGCCCTGACACGTGTGAGTTGGGTGGTGCGGTGCCCAGACCCAGTTGTTCCCATGTAATCAATTGTGTACTCTCAGTGTGCATGTATCTGGTGTTGTTTTTCTCATGTTTGTAGTCACCAGAACTCCACCATCATGAAGACATTGATCATTTTGTATTCATTATTTTTGTGGTAATGGTGTTTTTAACGTCTCTTGTGGGAATGTTGTATTTTTTTTTTCCTGTCTGTTTTTTTTTTTCCTTTCATTTTTGTCTTCTTTGTACAGCTGAATACAGATTTATCCATGTTCATGGGTGGTTAACCACGTGACAGAACAATTTGCTGGGTTTGATTGAGAAAATGCAAATAACAATGGTCGAGCTGCCAAGATTAGTTTCCATCGAAGATTGAACTTTTGTCTGATCGTGATTCTGGGTCCCCTCTTAATGCAGTTTGTGCTAGTTCCTAGTGATGGAGAAAAGATTTTTGTTAGTTAATACAGTTTTGGGTTTCTGTTGGTTATGTTGATCATGAAGAGTGAAGTTTGGGGAGGGACATTATTTGTAAATTATTTGAGTATTGTTAGACCTATTTCACACAGTCTTCTATAGCAAGAAGCTTGTTTGAGGAGGTAACTTAAAATGATAGGCCCTGATAGCTGGTGTGTGCGTGATGAACAGATAATACAGTTGGGGTCCAACTCTCCCAGAATGTTCTGTGTCGGGAATTTCTAAAATCTTTGCCGATTGTGCTGATGTGTGGGACGTAGAAGAAAGGATGAAGTACCAGGAGCCTTGTGGCTATTGGCATGTGACATGTGTCATGTCAGAAAATACAATTCTTTCCACTACGTTGTGCTGTGTGTCTGAGAAATAGCTGTACTGGCTGCTGGTCTAACATGTATCGTGTCGGAAGTTCACAAACTTTTTAATGAAAAGAAGCTGTTGGTTTATGTAGAGGTTTATGCTGAGAGACTTGCTCTTGCCGTTCGCCAAAGTTCTGTCTCACAAAAGGCGTGCTGGCTTGAAGGTTTTATATCCTGATTTATGAATGAAACAAAATTTAAGAAAAGGTGTGTATTTTGTAATGGATTATGACATTCTCAAACAGTTTTGAAAGTAAGATTTTGATTACTGAAGCTAGAATTAGGGAGTAAAGTATTTCCTTGTTCTGTGTCCTACTCTCGTCTCCAGGGTTGGAGGAACTTGTATCCATCCACTCCAAGATTGATTGTCTCTGAAATGTGAAACATGGTAGGGCTGTTTGAAAGAGCCAACAACATATTTTTGTAATAGTAGAAGAATTGAGCCAGTCTGCTGCAGTAACCTTTGGAGCTGACTTTTGTTTCTTCAACCCATTGACTATTGACGTACATACATACATTTGTTCTTTTGCTTCTGATTCCTCTGCCTTTGTTGGTAAGAATGTGTGCCTGATATTGTTCTGAGACTTGACAGAATGTACAGCTCTGGTGTCAGTCTCTGTCCCCGTGCCCATTGATTTCATTAGCTCTTTTGTCACTTCTGCTTCTGTTCTTAAACCATATATATCCTTTTAGAAATTGAAATGCCTTAGAGTATCTTTAGTGTTCATTTATGAGAGAAGAGCAGCTGATGTCAATTTTTCATACATGATGGACGTTTGTGCTTTTGCATTTTGGTTTTATTGTTAATTTTAAAAAAATGGAATTTCTGACACCTATGATTTTTCTTTTCTTTTCTCAGAATCGGAAGAGTGAAAAAGTAGCTCATTATAATGGTATATTTTACACTCAATTTCTTCTGCTTAACTTCATCTTTTCCATTGAAACAGTAAAATCACTGATTTGTCTGTGATAAGAATAGTGTTATTTATTTGGCCTCTGACATTCTAAATTGATGAATGGCACAGGGATATTAAAAAAAACAAAAAAACAAAAAACATGAAATAAAAACATGCAATTAATTTTGAGGTGACCAGTTGAGATTTTTGTTTTAGAGTAGTGAGTAATATTATCCAGTATAGAGTGTTGAGATTTTCAAAATACAATGTACAATGAGACAATCGCGTACTCTTTACTTGTGTAATATTAATATATCATCTCTGTATGTAGAGGTAGCTGCCTTTTGATTGGGTTCTGATCCTTTCTTTCGGTTGTGGGCCAGCATTGCTGCTTTGCAGAATACTTGAATGGGAATGTTGCAACTAACATTGATAGTGTCATGGGCAGATGTGATCGTTGCTTGCATGATGTGTGTCCTCTCTTCTTGTGCAAATATTTAAAAAGATGTCTTTTCTTCATCAGTTAGGGAAATAATAGTTTTTGCTTGAAGAGTTGTTATGCTGTAGAAGAATATGAAGCCCTCTTAACACTTTGCAGTCACACAGCCAGCTGTGACCGTAACGGATCATTGTCACCGAGGCAAAGGTGACTGCAAAGTGGAGAGAAAAGGGACAATAGTTGGAAACTTAAGATTAAAATTCTAAATTTGTGCCTTTTTAGTTTTGATTTGGAAAAAATTGAATGTTCAGTTTGAAATATACACATGTGACTTACGTTTCTGATTTTATATCTAAACAGCAAGTTTTGGGTCTAGGGATTACCATTGTCACACAAGTGAAATGTTAACAAAATAGTGTCAAGTTTAAACCTCCCCCGGTTGAAGTTGGATGGTAACTCTATTTTCTGATTGTTATCATTGGCCTGTATGTGCTTGAGCTGTCCTGATTGCCAAGTTTCTGTTGTGCAGCTAGATTACCAGAGGAAAGTTTGGGTTAAGCACCTTCCCCTAGGATAGTGTGTCCTAACATCAAACTCGTGGAGAAAAGAACTCTGGATCTTATAGAGTGAATCAGATGCCTCCTTTTGTCCCTCTCCTGGCGTGGCACTGTCTTGGTAGAGGAAAAAATTTCTATCCCTTGTGTTTGTCATAGTTATGTCAATGTCTGTCTGTTGAAAGGCCTGTGGGTGTTTGGTTGGCTCTGCTGCTCTTTCCATGTCTGTTTCTTTAGTATTCTGATTGTCATCAGTGTCTGTTTCCTTTTCAAAATGTTGCTAAACCGTGGCTATCGCTGTAATGACATCAAGAGTGATTTATAAGGCAGTGGTGAAAAAGACGTTGCCTGAAATATAACATTTTCATTTCTTATTTCCTTCTCCTTTTTTCCCAAGAGTTGTTTGAGTATTGTGTAATGTACATTTGTCGTGACAGAGAAAAGTGCCGTGAGACACCAGATCTTTAAAAAAAAATGAAAATTTATTCTAAAATCATTTCTTATGGCTGTAGCTTCCCTCCGGTTAACCTGTACAAAGTGTACCATAAGAGATGGCGAATTTAACGTCGCAAAGAAAAAAAAGTAGGCGTTTCCTATCATTGAAGGGGAGATGTACACCCAAGCCTTTGATTAAAAAAGAAAATGTGGATAAATAGGAGATATGGGCAAAGGTCATGTGTACTGCGAATGTCGCTGGACATTGTTGGAGAGACAGACCTTGCGGTGAAACAAAATTCTATTGGACTCTAATTTGTTGCATTTGAAAGTGAGGAAAGTCTTGATCCTCTCGGTTGGTTTCAGGTTGACCCACCTGCATCAAAGAATAACGTTGCTTTGGATAGAAATTAGAAACTGTAGGCAGGTCATGTCACTTGCCATTAGAATTTACAGTTGAGCAAGGCAAGTTTGGTGCATTTTGTTGAATAGAAATTGACTGACTTTGCAGCGTTTAATTGTTGCTGGGAAGAGGTTGAGGTAGACTGATTGTATCCCAGTCAGGTTTAGTTACAGCATTGTCTTATCTTTTTGTGCTGCACAAAGTTCAGTTGACTGTAGTGACCACAAGGGCTCAAGTTCTGCACCAAGTATTATAAAGCTGACTATCTTGTATAGATTAAATTCTTGGCATAGGTTGAAGTTGAAGTACGCACAGCTAATAGAGAGATTTGGTTCTTGCTATGACATGTTCTTATTGCCAGCTAAATGTGACCTTAACGTTATCGAAAAACACGGGTGTATTTAAGTATTTTAAGTCTCACTTTCCTTGACATGTTTATTTTGTGTCAGAAGATGTGGAGGTAGTTATCAGTTGCAGTGTTCTTGCTAAAATAAATTTGGTTTTATATTGCTTATTGTTAATTGTTCAGGTTTCACCTGCAAATTCTTTTAAGCTTCTCTCATCCCCGGAGATGATTATTTTTGGATAGAAATTTCAAATGTTTGGATTTAGCTACTAAATGTTTGGATGAAATATGTTTGAATTAAAGTAGCGTACCAAATGCTGGGATCGAAGTGTCCACTGTTTGGAATGGAAAATCTCCAGGTAAGGGTAGCATTGTTCTTGTTCTATGATTGCTGTTAAGTTTCAGGTTCTTTTTACATGAGCAATGAGAGCTAGTGTTTAAATTAGTATATACTTCATCCATCTGATAAAATAAATATTATTCACACATGATCATTGTCATCACCATTGATTGAAACGACATAAAAACCTAAATTTTTTTCATTCATACATGTGTTTTTCTTATTCCTTTTAAATGTTTAGATAAGTTTGTGTATTCATATTCAGTTGTGATTGACCCAGTTTGTTGACCTTTTACATAAAATTGGTTTAGTTTGTTATATTTTCATAGTACCTTGTGCGTAAAAGTCTCTTCAGGGCTCATCAGTCTTCAGGTAAAAGCTACCAACTTGCCTCCCATGCAAAAGTGTCCTGCTCAGTCTTTTTTGTGTTGACATGGTCAGTTTTAGTAAGGTTTTACGGCACTCGCAACTGCATAAGGTCATATGAGCGCGCATGGTCCGTTGGTAATTATTTTTGTTTATCCATTAGTAAAGGATAAAAGGCTTTAGTCGAAAGTCAGAGAAAAAAACAGCCTGTGTATGCTACCTGGGCAGAACTCCAAATTTATCCAATTGCAAAAGTGAAGAAACTGATGAGTATTTATAACAAATGGGTACTTTCAAAGACAACACTCATTTGTTCATGGAGGAAAACAGGTAATTGAAAGTAAATATCAGTTGTTCTGAGTGTTAAAAAAAATCTATTATGGACTCGACCTACTGGAAGAACGAAGAAGTGAAGTTCAAGTTCAGTTTTATAGAAAAGAAACTCCCAACAAATACAGTGGTCGTTTTGTGGTACATGTATGATGAATGGATCTTTGGACTAACAGAACATCCGTGGGTGGTTGGCGGGTGCTCTGGTGTGGTTTGCTCCTTCTTTCCTATCAAACATCTATCGTCCTTATCTCCCCTCCTTTTTTATGTTGGTTACTCTCTTGTAACACATATAATCTTTTGGCGCTCATAAAACCTTATGCAGTTGCGAGTGCCGTAAAACCTCTACTAAACCAACCAACCTAACATCCCATCTCCAGTAGGACTAGATCTGCTCAGATGCTCAAATAGATGGAGAAACATGAAACTTTTCATCAGCCCAAATGCAAGAACATCCTGTTGTGAATTGAACCTCATTCAGTTCAGTTTTGAACTGCAAACCCTCACAGTTTGGTTTGTAGTTTGTCAGTTAACTGTGCCTCAGCCTCCAGACTGAATGTGGTGTTCCGTGTGCTGAGGCTAAAATGAGGAAATGGTTTCTTTACAACGTGGTGGTTACTGCAAGGTAATTGTTGAAAACATAGAGAATGTCTCTCCAATCATTTTGCTGGTAAATTATACACTGCTGGCTTTACCATCTGGCCTACAAAAAGATACATTTTGTAGGAACATCATCTTCCGAGTAGTACATTTCAGTTTGCTGGGAAAAGGGAAAAAATGGTGAGGAGTAGTATATCAGGAGTCCATTATGATTACTTTCACTCTGAACTAGACTTTATAAAAAAATAGATATTTTTATGTCCCGATCAACACAATTTAGAATATTTTTTAAGCTGGCTTCGACAGTCTTTCAGGGCCAACCCGGGCTGAGAAGGATACAATATCCCCGCCGAAAATTCTCCCCACTTGGGAATAGAACACTGGTCTCAAGCATGTGATGGCGAAGTGCCTAACCGCTACACCACAGATGCAAGTTGAACCAGATTTCCATTTTTTTAAAATGTAGGGACAGCACAGCAGATGACTATGGTTTGAATCCGTAATAGAGCTTTTCAGGATAATTGCAAGTTCTTAAGGGGATTTTTGCCGATTTTGGGTCAGGCTATGCACATTGAGATGTTGGCTGATTTTTGAAGATCAACCAGTTTTTTGTCTAGAAATATCATTGACACAATTGAGAAAGTCTTTTTTCTCGTCGTAAATTCCCTTTGAAAACATGAGGCTGGGTTAATGTAGTGAATTTTCACAATAATTGTCGTTTTTCGCAAAATGTCATTTTTTTGCAGTTTTTTCCCTACTCCTTCCTTAGTTTTCTTCCTTTTGATATGAAACTTTCAGGGAAAATAGATGGCAGGGCTGCCATCAAAATAACGGAGAGATATTTGCGAAAAAAAATGTCGATTTTCCATTGGCAAGCGATTACGCAACCTAAATTTAGAAGTTTTTTTATACTTTGGGAAAATTCTCATATTTTTTTTTCTTTTGCACTTATTGAAAAAAACTTGCTGTTATGCTGATAGGGTCTGGTTCAGGTATACTCTCACCAAATCTGGTCAGTAAATAAGAAAGCCTTAGGGATTTTAAATTCATTATTTTCAAGATGGCGACCGTTTCCATAGCATCCGCTGTAGCTATGCCACAATGAAATTGCGTATCAAGAGATTTTACTATGCCTAACTTATATGTGTACTTAGATTTGATCTCAGGCAACAATTACAAACATAGAAATTGTTCCTCAAGGGTCGCCTCCTGTTAAGGCTCTCCTCCTCAACCCACTACAGATAAACGAGAAACAAGAAATGATAAAATACAACCTTGTTTGAGTAAGAGTAAGAATTTTACGGCACTTGCAATACAATAAAGTACATGTAATTGCCAAAGATACAAAAAAGAAGAAGAAAGAATGACAATGATAGGAAAGAAGGAGCAAAGCACTCGCCAACCAACCACATAAAATCCAACATCAAAACAGAACAAAAATATGGAATTGAAAATTTTTTATTCATTTTTTTTTGTTGTTGGTCATAATAATTATAAATTAAACACACAATACAAAATCATCATAAATTGGCAGGTCATTGTGTTAAGGGAGTATGGATCTGAACCAATGCTCTACAGTTACTGCACTAGCTAGCTACAGCACTTAGGCACACAGCATTTGTTGAGTGGAAGGGGTTTGCTTTTTTTTTTTGCAGGGGAATAGGGGGTGAAGGGAAGATAGCTCCGCATACACATGCAATACATAGAGATTAATGGACATATCTAATGTAAAGTACAGATACAGGTAATCCCCCCCCTCTGATCTAGAACCACCTTGTTTATAATAACAGAGTTTTGTAAGGTGGATTAAGTTTCTTTTGTAACGATTTAATGTTTAAGGAAGGGTACTAAATAATCTCCTTTACAGAAACTTCTGAGTTTTTACATCTGTGAGAAAAGCTTTTAAAAAAATTTTTTTTTGTGTTTTACACAATCTGGATAATTTCAGGAGGCAGGCTTCGACCTTTTATCAGGACCAACTTGAGCTGAGCGAGATACAATCGAACCCAGGTCTTCTGTGTACAACGATGAAGCACCAGATCACTACACCACGAACCCTGGTGGATACTGCCTGTTGGAAAAACTCAAAACATTGAGGAGAAAAAAAGTCCCATAAATATATCTGATCAAAATTGAACAGTCTCTATTCTTCTTCTAGGTACTTTGATGGAAATAGATGGCTGCAGACAGGGAGGTTGTAAACCAGAGGGATAACTGTACCTGATCTGGGGAGGAAGAGGAGAAGGAGGGCAGCGTATGGTTAGCATACAGTCCCACGCCGCCAATCACATGGTTAATCTGTTACATGATGCATTATAATAAAACCGATGACTGACAACTCGCACACCATGAACAATACAGATCCATCACACTAAGACACGCAAAAAATAACGCATTATAACGCTATACATGACCAATCAAAATGAGACCCAAATCACTGAGGAGAGAGTAGCTGCAAAGTAGTTCCCCCACAAAAGAGATCATTTAGAAGTGTGGTCAGTTCTCTCTTGGTAAACACTCGTAAACTGCAAAAGCAAATTTAGCAAAGATTACTCGACTTCTTACTGTTGAATGAAGTAATGAAGAGTAGTTTCCAGCCAGCCACTTGCGCCCATTTTGACTGGTCGAACGACAACTGTTCAGTCTTACTCCACAGAACAACATGGGATCAGCAGCCACGAAGCAACTCCGCTGAAATTTAATTCTGATAGAAGGGAACATCACACAGAAAAACTCTACGCTGACCCACACAAACGACACACTTGAGGTACACACACACACACACACACGCACTGTTAGACAGAACGAACACCCTTCTTCATGGCTTTGAAAGAGCTCAAATTATGTCCTTTAGGTATCCATAATTCTCTGCATGAACGGTGAGAAATATGCCTTTAGTGAATGCACAATTATGACTTCCAGCATCATCTCATAACAAACTCTACCCTCCAAAAAATATCTTCAATGTACAGTGAAGAATAACTACTAAGAAAGAAAAGGACCCCAATCAAATCTCTCTCGATCTCTCCCCCTCCCCCCCCCTCTCTCTCTCTCTCTCTCAAAGGAATATTGTATAGGCAAACTGTTAATCCCTCCTCACCCCATCCACCCCATATGAAGAGAACCACAGATGTCAGTTTTCTCATTATCAAACAATCTAATCATTCTCTCTTTTCCAGTCTCTCTTTCCTACACATAGATGCAAAGAGTAGACACCCGAAAACAAAAGTGATCCACTCTTTCTTATACACTTTTTCTTTCTCCCTCATAGACAAATATTGTCGGTGCCACAAGCAATTCACAGGTCTACCCTATGGCCTAGTGATACAGGAGACACAAATGTATTGCTCAATGCTCTTTATCTAAAGAAATACACATAAGTATTAGTAATCAGTACTGCAGAACTTATCATAGCTTCTGAATGAACCAAAACACATCCAGTCGAACCTGCTGTAACAGCCTATCAAAGACAGTCAATCAACTGTACAAACTACCTCTTCCTATTTCCCTCCTTGCATTTTAAACCTTATCCGTATGTCCTGGGGTCATTTTGTACCCTCAGGGTTGTATTCTTCACATTTTAGAACTTCAAGTGCGAAGATCTCTTTGAAACTTTCTTTATTTCTCAACAAATCATTTTGACAGACTACTATGCAAAGCGTAGGGATCGGCTTAGCGAGTAAATTTCCTCTTTGGAAAGTGGTGGTACAGAATTCTCCACGTCGTATGGATACGATAGTAAAACACGACGTACGCATAGGGTTAAAAAATATTATAATAACACTGTCCAAGACATATCTAGCCGTCTCCGACTAAGACAACCACTTTTCTTCTTTGCAATTCACTACCACAGAATTACAAAGTTCTTTCTGCTCAGTACTTAGTTTTAAGAAATTATATGACAAAAAGTTTTGAGTTTCACATGTGAAGTTTTTTCGAACGTCATCTGAATAACCGTAAGAATTTGATAGAACAGATAGAAGATTTGGTTTCTGATCTCATGATCTTAGTAACTCAAAAATGGCCAAAAGTTTCCGATAGAACTTTGCAATTCTGAGGCAGCCAACGGGTGGCAATCTTGGACAATTTCGACAGTACTTTATATTTGTTTCTCATCTGGAGAGACTTGCAAGTCCAGATCAAGCTCTATATAATAATAGTACTGAAAAAGTGATTACTTTTCCATACTTGCATTGCGTGTGACACCTACAATATGCTCACTCTTGATCTCCTCAGTTGTGTGAATGAGTGACAGTCATTGAGCAAAGAGAGTGAGTGAGGCTGAGAGCTGAACAAGAGGGTGGTGGCCGCAGTGGACTTGTGTGAATGAGTGTGTAACTGATGGTGTCAACTTGCATGTGTACGAGTATATGTGCTCACATAATGTGTGTGTACGCCTACTAATTTATGATTATATTCATGTTTGTATCTATTTGAAGTAATTAATGATCCTTTGGGTATGAATATGTGTGTATCGTAGTGTGTAATGAGTATGCATGAACAGTGTGGGCAAGCATGGAAATGTGAGTACGCATGCATACATGTATGTTTACTCATAATTATACTTGTTTGTGTAAAAATAGATAAATGTGTACGAGTATGTGTGTGCAGGCTGGTGGTATACGTATGCGCGTATGATGAGCCCACCCCCTCAAGTCCTGCCGTAGACAACAGTCACTGCATAGGCTGAAGTGATCTGCCCCTGCCTTGTGGGCCAAGAGGGGACAAGCATTGGTACGTTATCAAAACACTGCATAGACACTTGAAGAGTATACTCATGATGGATGGGGGGTTGGGATGTGTTGAAGGAAAAGAAGTGCTACAGGACACCACATTATAATGCGACCCCATAGATTAGCCTTTGAGTACTTTGACTCTAGTCTAACAAAAAAGGAAAAGAAAAACTACCACAGTTTGGTCATATCAATATCAATCAGTCCCACAATCTATGAAACAAACTATCATACCATCTGACATTATTACTGGAAAGGAAAAACAAAAATCATAATAATTACATATTCCATTACTACCAAGGACTAACTACCCTCCCCTCACTCCTATTTTTTCTGTTTTCTGTGTCCCCCCCCCCCCCCCCCCCCCTCTCTCTCTCTCTCTCTCTCTCTCTCTCTCTCTCTCTCTCTCTCTCTCTCTTTCTCTCTGATCCTATCCACTTTACATGTACAAAAAACAAAATCCTCATGTATTATATCCCTTTCAATTGCACAGAGAATAAAACTAATGTTCAAAACAGTGTACTTCATCAACATCCTTCAACATCACACCAGATCCGAAGGTGAGTGATTTCCATATCATCAAATGAAAAAATAAAGCCCGTGTCTTCTAGGAAAGTTATGACAGCATGGTATTTCAATCATCATTTCACAATTTATAAACATCAACTGCATAGAATTAAAACTAAATCTTTATAAGGGCCCATTATATAAACTTTGTGAAACAAAGTATAAGTGTTCTTTGGTGACACAAAACAGTAAAGACACACACACATAGGCACACTGTCACACACACACACAGACACATAGGCACACTGTCACACACACACACACACACACACACACACACACACAGACACAATAGGCAATCTCGCACAGTCTAAGACAAAAGCAGACAAAACGAGCAATGTTCCTTACGCCTCACACAGTTACAGTCCATTCTTTGTGAATAAAGGGATGACCCTCCGCCTATCTCGGTCGTAATTCACAATGCTAGGAGCCACTCTCAGCTTCTTTCTGACAACACTTTCAACGACTCAGAAACTTTAGAAGGACAGATCTTGAAGAGAAAAAACAACATCAACAACAAAAAATATGACATAGAAATCATCTCTGTTTATCACAAAAAATCATAAGTTAATCTTTATACATGCAATTACTATAATACAAGCTCTTTCAAAAGTCTGGGGATAGGTTTGTGTGTGAAAAAACCGACTACTTACTGGTGTTATTATTTACAGCTATCAAATTTGTCTGTACAAACTTGATGCATTAGCAACAATAACATGATAGACACAGCTACGTTGGCCACTCCTTTTATTACTTATACAACACACATACAAAGCTTCCAATACAACACACATGACGCAAGCACCCAGCAGTTACAGCATAACAGTTAAAAGTTAACCCTAAACAATCCTATTTGTTTTAGTAGAGGTTTTACGGCGCTCGCAACTGCATAAATAAGGTCAAACAATCCTAACCCTGGACTGAGTTGAGTTTTTGCCTGTTGTTACAGTGCTACAGTGAAGTCACTGCAGAGTCAACTACTGGTCACAAGAAAGTGCTTTAAGACTGAAACTGAGCCCCCCCCCCCCCCCCCCCCCCCCCTCTCCAACTCAATGTCTTGGACAAGGACTACTGTACAAAATAGTACAACTGATCAAAAATGTATCACACTATTATATTTTTATTGTGAAGAAGGGGGAACTAACTGTATTAGGTGTCACTGGCCCCATAGGCCGAAAGAAATATAAATATGTGAGGCAGCGTGGTGGAATCAGGCTCTCGTCAAAATAATCAAAGTGAAGAAACCTGCATTTTTCCACAAGTTTGTGAATTTTTATTTAATTTTTGGTTTTTGGCTCACCCCTTTCATGTCCATTAAAGAAATCATTTCTGTGTGGATTTTTATGAAAAAAGTCGATTAATTGCCCAAAATATGTAAATGTCCAGTTACCATGGACTATAAAGCTAAGGAAATAACTAATCTTTGGCAGCCATTTTCTCACTAATTTTACCTCTGAAAACAGATGACCCCCACCCCCTTCATTCGCAAATATCTCGACTTGTATTCAAGATAAATGGATATTTTTTTTATCCAAATAAAGACAACTGAACAAGCTTTAAGATGATACCAATAACTCTACATGCCCAAAAATTGACGAGAGCCTGATTCCACCACGCTGCCTCACATATAGACCTCCAGATACAGAAGAGCAACTTCCACAAATTTTAGTTTGAGTTTGAGTAAAAGAAGCACATGACACAATAATGGTCATATAGTGCACAGAAGAAGTAAGATACAAAGACAAAAACAGCTGAGGGTTAAGAAAAAAGTAAGACCTACCAGTGGCGCCCTCCAACCACTCACCTACAAATTTTAGGATGAACAAACCATGGGGAGAACATTGGAGAACCCATACTTCTTAAACACACTCGCTCTCAGTCAAACACACTCATTTCCATGTTGGAATTGAAAGACACTGGGTAATATAGAACTGTCACAGCTCAACCACTGACACATTTCCCTGACACCAACTGACACATCCCTCTGACACCAACTGACAGGAAAAACAAAACAAAGGAACAAACAGAAATGTCACCTACAACTAAAATGTCTGACAAAAATTCTGGAAATGACAAGATCTGAAACGATGAAATCATACCTCCGGACAAATATTGTCCTTCAACTTCAAGGAAAGTTTTATTATGTTCTCAAAAAGGTTCCCAGCAACTTCTGAAACAACAGAAGCACAATCTGGAAAAAAACAGACAGTCCAGAATATTATTCACGACATTTATGAGCTTTGATAGAGACACAATCTGAAGATTTCTGAGTACAAAAAGTTTGACATTTTTAGAAAAGTAAATTACTCTTCATGGAGCCTTTTTTCCAATTATGTTTGAGCTTTACTGCATCTGGAACTGTGCTTTCAAGGGAGAAAAACAACAACAAAAAACCCAGAGCAACTGTCTTTCCCCATTGAACAGTGTCTCTCGTCTTCCTCACACAGAAACTGAAGTTTTTTGAGAACTTATTTCTGACAGCAGAGAAAAGGCTGACTTCAACCCCAACATAAGACTCTAAGTATAACATTTTTACCTGTATATTTAACGTATACACACAATATTCAATACACAAGAAATACAACAAGAACAGACTCTGTGACCAACATGAGGACAAAGCTGTACAAAACTCTTACAACATACTTTGGTACACTACAACAACATTTGGTACAGTTCATGGTAAAAAGAAACCCTCCAAAATACACTCGGCTGACAAACAAACCTCTTGTCATCCATACTCAACAACCACTCTCTCTCTCTCTCTCTTTCTTTCTCTCTCTCTCTCTCTCTCTCTATCTCTCTCTCTCTCTCTCTCTCTCTCTCTCTCTCTCTCTCTCTCTCTCTCTCACACACTATACACCAACAAATATTTTGTTCATTCATACCCTACTCATATAGGGACACTTTCTGTCATTCTATAGTTTAAATATAACACACGACTTATTTCTTCATGTCTCATTCCCAAACATTATAACCATACAAGTATGCCCCCGCAATCCACCAAACACATATAAAAATTCCCCCAAAATAATGGTATGATGAATACAGCAAAACAACTCCTGTACATGCACTGTACAAATCATTGCATCTTTTTGTATGGCACGCGCACGTACACTGACTAACCACGACTGTCTGTGGTACACGCTGTGTGTAACACCGCAACACGGGCGTGTAGACACGTGAACAGGCATGGCGCGTAGACACCGTGGTACACACTGTGCACAACCAGTGCCGATAACAACACACAGTGTGTGCAGATAGTATGGAGGATCACATCAAGCACAGTTTCCACTAGTCAGGCTCTCAGTATGGAAATACAGTGCACACACACAAACACACACATGTTTGAGAAGACACACCTACACACATCCACGTGGCGGCGCTGCTACAGTGAAATATGTATGATCTTGTCAAACACTCTAGATCAGAAATGTACTACTGTACAAATCAGTACACTTGATCAGAAATGTACCACTGTTCAAGTTAGTACACTTGATCAGAAATGTACCACTGTACAAATTAGTACACTTGATCAGAAATGCACTGTACATATTAGTACACTTGATCAGAAATGTACTACTGTACATATTAGTACAATTGATCAAAAATGTACCACTGTACATATTAGTACAATTGATCAAAAATGTACCACTGTACAAATTAGTACCTACACTTGATCAGAAATGTACCACTGTACAAATTAGTACAATTGATCAAAAATGTACAGTACATATTAGTACAATTGACCAGAAATGTATCGTACTATTATTTTTACCATTGTGAAGAAGGGGAAACTATATTAGATGTCACTGGTCCCATAGGCAGAAAAATAGTCCTTGAGCCCTTTGTGTGTGTGAGTGCATAATAATAATAAAAATAATAATAATTAATATAAGGTGTAAAAGCTTGTTGATGTGGCAAGCAGACTTCGGAGCGGTGCAGTCAAATGTTTTTGTTGTCAGACAACTGTTAGATTTGCAGGGAAAATCCGTGAGTTTGTTGAACCACATCTCCGTGACGTAAGCAAGCAGGGTGAGAGAGCTTGGCTGCTGTAAAAGATGCTGAACTCAAAGCCTCTCTACGACCAAGGGGAAGGAATCCTTGCTCCCCCACCAGAATGACGAGGCGAGTAAAACAAGGAACTTCTTCTTCTCTCTTTGGTCGAGTTTTGAATCAACTGCATCACCACATTGGGGATCTTGTGTGAACTTGAGAGGGGTACCATATACCAAGGGTCACATGAGCTATGATAGGCCAGAAGTACGGCTGAGTGTTCCCCGACTTCGCAACCAGAGCTTGAAAAACAGAATATCACTCTCTTTTGAGAATAATCCATTAAATGTAGTCCAAGGACGTTAGGTGAAAGGTAGCATTGTATATACGTAGGTGTTGGTCTTATGTTGATGTATCCATGAAATAAGAAAACAACAAACATTATCACTTCCCTGACTCTTTGATCAAGTGAAAAAATCACCCCAAAAAATGTCCAGCGCACAAATTATGGAAATCCAGTGCCAGATATAACTACAAAGCCTCCTAGAACAAGACCGTGCACAAATGTTAAATTTCAGTACCAGTTGAGGATGTCCTGTTTGAACATCATAAAGTACAAGTATGAAAATTCAGTGACAGTTGGGAATGAATGCCCTGACCTGACACAACACAGCATGACAACAAATGTCAGGACTCTGAAATCATCGGGAGGAAGTCACTCTGTACAAACTAAAGTCCTCCGCAAATGTTATGACTTCTTCTTCCTTAAATGTTATGACTTCAAAGTCACTCGCAAATTCCTGATGGAATTCGTGGACGTACGATGAGTTTCAATGTCGTTCATGCTAGACTTCTGTGCCGTCAGGAATGCTCTGTCGGAACATGATGGGGCCTCGGGGCGGCGGCTGCTGTCTCTTCCCTCCGGCCACGCCTAGATGGCTCATGGGGGCGGGGGCCAAGCGGCCAGAGGGTTGGGCCGTGGGGCTCGGGGTGAACACGGTGCTGGGGTGGGTGTCACTGCTGGTGCTGCCCACGCTACCAGACGCCTGTGGGGGAAGGAGACAAGAAAGGTAAGAATTAAGGAATGGAAAAAAAAAGAAAGAAAGAAAGAAAGAAAGAAGGAAAGAAAGAAAGAAAGAAAGAATGGCTAGGAACAGAAATGAAAGGAATGAGTATGAATTAAGGTGAGGAAAGAAAGAAAGAAAGAAAGAAAGAAGGAATGGTCAGGAACAGAAATGAAAGGTGGAGTATGAATTAGGGTAAGGAAAGAAAGAAAGAAAAAAAAGAAGGAATTATGGTCAGGAACAAAGATGAAAGGAAAAGATAGAAACAAAATAGAAGGCACTTGGTATTGTTATAAATGCAATTGTCATTATAATTTTCAGTATTGAGGAAGTGTAAAACATTCTACTAGACTTTTCAGCCTGAGAACTTAGCGCGTTCCCTGCTGAACACAGATGGAATACTCATAGGTTCCCACCACAATTCAAAATCAACATCTCTTAATAAGAAAGAAAAGAATTATTATGTTTGCTTGTTTTAGTATCCATAAACTCATAAACAGCAACAGAGTTATTGTTAAAACCATGCTGGGAATGACAGAGAAAATACCCAAGCCCACCTCCCCCCCCCCCCAAAACAATTAAAATCCACTGCCATTGAAAGATAAATTAAACAGAATGGCAGAAGGCACAATGCTAAGATGACATTTTGATACTTTTTTTATTTTGTTTTTTTCTCAAGTCTGGCCCCAGTTCCAGTCTGTGGGTCACAATTCATTCAGTGCTTTCAACAAGAATTCTCACAAGACCTGATCACTGTAAATGCTGACTTAGATTTCCATAGTAGAACATTAAATTTAGTAATAGCGCAAAAAAATAAAATTTTAAAGGATTTTTCACAAAGTAATTTAAAAAATTGATGTACTTATTTTAAAATATATTAAAAAATCATGACGGGTTCAACAGTTCTTGTTTGAAGATCCCCCCCCCCCTCCACCCCGACCAATGACATGTATACGTGGAGTAGAGTCCAACATTGCCACAGCACTGCATGAGTTAAAGGCCTATAGAAGTCTCCTTGTATATAACAATCCTCAGACAGACTTAACTGCCACTGAGCGACATACCATCCCACTGTCCAGAGATGCTCCACTGCTGCCCCGCTTCATCACCGGATCTAAAAAAAACAAACAACCAGAAACAAACACTCATTAGACAATGGTTGTAACAGTAAAACCAAACAACATAACACATGTTACAATCAACTACTTCAACCAAACAACACAAGCGTGGAGTACGCAGAGGGAAACATGATTAGATAAGAGTGCACTGCAATTGATTCTGCTCATACTTCTTAATCGAGCGTGGAGTTTTCAGGGAGTGAGAAAACAACCAGGTTCTCTCACAAACCCAGGCTCGAAACCGTTTCTGAAACAAGGTCATTTGGAGAGATACAAAAGCTCTCAACTGTGCCGCATGACATATACAGTACTTTTACACTATATCAATATATATCTATATTCCCTCGTAACCAGTGTAATGTACACTGAAAAAAAAGCAACAAACATAATATACCAGTTATACTCCAAACTTAAACGTTCCAATTTATGGTATACATGTACTAGTAATTTTAGGAGCTAAAGTTTTAGTATTAATGCTCGTCTTTGGCAGAGCAGGGTCGGTAGCCCTCTAAATTCTCCACTACAACTTAGATTGTGAAGGTAACGACACGGGAAGATTCCCACTCAGATGACCAACTACATAAATTGGTTTTTCTTTACTACTGTATTTTAGGGCTAATGATGCGGTACTCGTCTGCCACGGTCACAATGATATCGGGAGAAGAAGACGTCCAAGTTTGTTTTTGTTTGTTTGTTGTTGTTGCTGTTTGTTTTTTTTGGCTTTTTTGTTTGTTTTATTTTCAATTTTCACAAGGCGATAAAGAGTACGGAAAAGTTTTAACATTGGACATTCTACTCTAATTCAAAGTAATTAAGGATTTTAAAAAATAATAAAAGTAATAGAATTGACGTCAAAAAAGGGGATACATGACTGATACGAGAGAGCAAAGGTGAGCCAATGTGGCAAGTGTGGGGTGACGTAGCTACTGGGTGAGCGCCTGGCACAGGAGAGAGCAGCGGCCGGAAGCAAAGGTCATGCAGTGCACTACAGACTTGGACCACTTGTAGGAGGGACACTAGGGTGGTCGGCTATATGGACAGGCTGTAAGCTTAGAGTAATAATATGTACACTGATATATATGCGGATGTGGGCACATCGATGCATTGCTGTGAATAAGTATGAAGGACAATAATATTCAAAGACAGATTCTTCTTTTTTTCAGTTTCAAGACTCTCTTTACAGTTCCAAACAACTTTTGATGAAAAGAAACAGGTACCAAAAAGAAAGATTCCCCCTCCCCCATCTCCCACACCAAAACTCTGATTTAAAAAAAAATCTTTCTTGCAAAAGTTCCAGATCCAAATTCGCACGGCAATAGATTTAAGCTGGACGTTTAGAAATGTTTCAAGTGTAACACTCCGATATTATTGTTTATGAAGGGGACATTCTTCTCAGATAGCAGCAATCAAATGCAGAGAGCGAACGGAGTCAAACTACGCTTACACAGGAGATGAATACCACAATCAAATATTACGACCACAGCAACAACAAAAAAAAAAGCGATGAAAAAACAGATCAGCCTTCAAAGAAACAAAAGCTCAGACCAACTGAAGAATAAAACTAAAAACGTCCATATAATAGGTAAAAGCAATAATGACATTTGAGACGAAAAGAGAATACCCACCACCCTCCCATTCCT